AAGAACATAATGAGGACATAGCTAGTGATGGTTATTATTAATAAAAGATCTTCCTACAACTTATGGTTTGAAGACTGGTCTACTCCAAAGATGCCTTTTTGGGGAAATATTTAATAGCAATATTACAGTGTCATTGTGATTGATTAAAGATGGGGGTTACCCCTTTTTGGGATTAAATTGGGCAGGAGCTCCCTCCCTTCCTCCTTCATGATCCTAAATGCAACTGTTAAAGATGGAAGAATAGTATGGCATGCCCTTGTCAGTAGGGAGATCTTACATTGTTGTCAATTATTTTTATGTTTATCTTTTGATATTATTTATTTTGTATATTTATTAAGTAAATAAAGAATTTAGTTTTTTCATTGCAGGTTCGGCGGAAAAATATTTGGAGGCTAAAGCAAAAGCTACAAGAAAAATCATTAGAGATATCAACAAGTTGCAAGGTGGCAAGATATCCATGATAGACTTGAGTGAAGAAAAGAGGTGTGTGCGTGTGTGTAAGAGAGAGAAACCAAAAAGAGAGGGAGGGAGAGAGATAAGGGGGGGGGGAGAGCTGGCATGCATCAACTTTGAGCTGTACAAAAAATTTTTATTACAATGATTTAGTTTAATGTCTCACTTTTATGGAAATTTACCTGTTCAGATATCTTATTTGGTCAGTGTGCATTGTAAGATCCCACGGATCTTAAGTGAAAACAATAAGGTGTTGATTAATATTCTGTATGTTTATTTCAGTAACCAGCATCAGAAACGCATGTACTTGTAGTCCCATGGTTCTGACTAAAACGAAAACAAAAAGAACATAAATAAGTCTTCTTAAAACAGTGTTACAAACAATTTTAACTGCATTAAGAAAGTTTAACTTATACAACAGAACAATCATAAAAACTCACATTGCTGGCTTTCGTGGATGTCAATTATTCCTTTTTATCCTGGAAAGCTGAATTTCCTCTACAAAATCACTGAACATCTATAAGTAACTTGACGTTATTATACTATGTGGTGTCTGAACTGTCATAAAAGCACAAAGGAGTGTCGCAAAAATGTCTATTCCTACAGAATGCTAACTGCAAAACAGCCACGCTGCTGAAGTGTCAATCAATTCTCCCTGCAGTCCTACCTCCTCACATAAAAGATCACGCAAATGGGCCGCTTAAGTTTACATTAATCAAAATAAACAAGTAATCGGGTTATTCGATTCTTACATGCATGCCACTAACATGATTAATAAAAAATTTTTAAAAACATCCTTGGAGTTTTTGGGCAGGATTGATCTTTTGAGTATATTTTATTGTCTAAAAATTATTTACTTGCAGTGAAATAGATTTTTCTCCAGAAGAAGAGAAGTCTATATATATGCCTCAAAGGGATTCTCTTCCCCAAGCTAGAGGACAATTTAGAAAACTTGAAAGAGAGTATGACCTAGACTCTTTGAATTCTGAGGATGATTATAAGGAGGAGGAAGAAAAGTTTATGGTCATAGCTCCTGATGTGCTGTTGGAGGAGAATGGTATGTGTGCCTTTAAAAAAATGTGTATTTCTTAACTGATAAAAAGATTAACATGTGCCTTATCATCAACAGTTGGTATGAATGAGAAAAGAGATTTTTTGTTAATCAGAAATTATTTTCACATCTGGTGGTATAAAAACCCTTTGAAGGAAGGGTTATGAATGCAACTGCAACAAATTGGACAATAAAACTAATAACATTTATTTATTTATTTATTTATTGCAGGTTTTGGAGAAACGGAGGCACATTCTGAAGATATCGATGTGTATGCAGATTGTTTGATAGATGCGCTTAATCAGGATCAGCTCTGTGATGGCAGTGCTGATGAGGATGAAGATGAAGATGAGGATGAGGACAGCTCAGAGATGGGGGAGAGCACAAGCAGTCTCCAAGATGAAAGAGAGAAGAGACTAGAAACCACAAATAGATTGCACAAAACAGTGGAATACTTGTCTTTCGATGAAGACAACACTACCTGTACATCGAATGTGACTGCTGCTCTGTTACCACAGGTTAGTTGATTTATAGACGTTAATGAGGGAGTAAACTTTCGGGGGTCTTTAAATTAAATATAATTCATACCGTTCTTCAAAGATCTGTCTGTCACGTTTTACCCACTGTAAGCGTAACATTGACTGTAATATTTAGGGTGTTATGTACTGGTTAAGCATTGACATATTGATGACAGTGCTGTGGAAAATGCCTTTGTGTTCCTTTTTTTTTTTATTTATTTTTCTATGAGAGGTTAATACAACACAACCATGCGAAGGTGATACTGCCTCCTGGTATTGTACCACCAGCAGTAGTAAGCGCATTTGTATGGGAAACAAAAAAAAAAAAAAAGGGACACCACCTCCAGTGTTGTGTTTGACAAGCTCTACAAAATGGAGTAAACAAGAGTTCTCAATTTATTTATTTAAAATGATAATTTATTATAACAAAATCTTTTGAAAAAGTAAAACTGTAATCAATATGTCAATGCTTTAGCAGTGCTGGTGGTGACGTTGCATTGGGTATATGACTCCTTTTTTTAACCAAGTGAAATAATACTGTGAAATAAGTCAATTAAGTGTGCTTGTCCTGTCATATTGGATAACCTTCTGGTTATGTGTATCATTATTTATTTCAGGAATCTAGCCAATTAGAAGTTACAGAAAAGAAAAGCAAAAAAAATGGCAGTCAACGGAAATGTAGTTATTGCAAGGGTAAGTGCTTGCATTTCCCTTAAATTTATTCATTTGACTTTATTGTTATCGAATGATTTTGCACCACAGTAAGACTTGGATAAATACATAGAAACAGTGGCAAAATCAGATAAATATACCAATTGATAAGGATATATAAATAATGGATAATAATGGATATATAAATAATGGATATTAAAATCCAACATGAAATTCCATTATATGAATTAAAACAAATTAGACAACATAAACGATAAAAAAGTTTGCAAGTCTATGTGTTCTGAAATAAAGTTATGTTCATATGTTGTGCTACAGGACTCGCTTCAATAATATGTATGAGCTGATTAACAGAAAGTGATTAAGGCTATCTGGAGAAAAACAATGCATTTTTCCTCTAATTAGGCATTGATGCAATACTGTGTTAGTAAAGGAAAAAAATTGTAGTTGGCGTAATGATTTCTTTTTGTTCAAATAACGTAGACATACCACTGCCTTGATTTTTGTACTATGTTCACCTAGTCAAAGATGTAGGTAGTATCATAGATAATATGTCCGGGCACTTGTTTTGCAAAAGGTTTAACTTATTTTAGCAGGACTGGTTAAACTCCCAAGTAGTAGAAGATTCACCAAAATTCTAATAGCAATCTATTTTCTTGGCTTAAAAATTTTATAATGTTTTATTTCTTTGCTTTATCATCTTCAAAAATCAATTTGCTCTGTTTGTCCATTATTTCGTATAAATTATTTACTCTATAGGTTCTATTCTAAAACTAAGCACTAATACTTAATTGAAATAATAGGCAATCAAAATGAAATTTTAAGAAGTAAGATGTCTCATTTGATGTATAATTTTTAGGTTTGGGCCACATCAACAGAGTGACCAAGGGGATCCCTACCTGCCCAAAGAGAAGAGCAGATGAAGGTCACTAAAGGTCACTGATGATTGGAATCAAGATTGTTTACAATTTTTGTCGGAATACATTGCTATCTTTGCACAGACCATGTCCTGGCTTCAGAAACCAGCCCCTTTTGGAGTTTAAAACAGGGATGCCAAGTGTTTTTGTTCCAGGGTGCATTTTCCGGTGGAGATAGATTAGGCTAACTTGTTATTATAATTACCCATCAACTGACCAGGTGGTTGGAATTAGCTCACCAAATGACTGTGGATCAAACTATGTATCAGACTTTGTATTACGTACCCTAGTAGCAAGGCAGCATTGGATACTGCTAAGGATTATCACAATCGAAAATGGGGAGATTGTAAGAGATTAAAATTAATTTTTTAAGGTTTACCTTTTTCCGAGACAAGTGAAGTCTCAACCTTATCAGATTATATGATATTGTGTGCTGAAGTGAAGAACACTTTAACATATCTAAAAAAAAAAAATTTTTTTTTCCTTATTATGAGCATTGTCATATGAAGATCGTCATTTTCAACCATTACTGTGACATGCGCCATGGATTTGTTGCTAGAAAAATATTTTGCCACAGTTTTAGCATTACTATGCTATTTGTCATGGTGAAATAGTAACATCGGATAAAACAATGTATATAATTGCATTAACAGGAATAAGGTATATGAAATAGTCTGAAAAATTAAGTTTTATTAAACTGATCATACGAAAAAGTTTACATGATGCATTTGTACACCTATTGGTATGCTGTTTATGAAATTTGTTAGTTAATAAAAAAATAAGACAGACCATCATTTTGTAAATAGTTTTTATTGAACTTAAAGGGACGGGATGCCAGAAGCATTAAACAAATAGAAAAAATATTTCCTTTAAAACAAAAACCTTAAGGTATATAATATAGAAATACACATTTACTACATAAACACTCATAGTTGGGACGGAATGCTCTTAGAGAACTTAAGTAAACTTATTTTCAGTTTCCAAGTATTTACTTTGTAAACCCTTAAAGCAAATCTAGTGGTATCACTTCTAGGCACAAAATAAGAAATTGTGTATCAATTGTTTGGTAATTTGGACTCTTATTGGCAAACTCTACATGTCTGGACAAACTAATCGCCTTCACCTGTTGTCACACAGTGGCGGGATTTACAGGGGGTCCTGACCTCCCCCCCCTTCAGTTTCTGAAAAATATATCACACCAAAATTCCCCTCTCAACATTAAAATTTTGACCAGCTAATTCATAATTTGAAACTGAACCAAAGGGCACCATTTGCCTTCCAAAACACCAAGACACCTTGAGCAGGTCTTGAACCCCATGCCAAGAGGGGGAATGATCAGCTTCATATCTGAGCTTTGTCTTTCCGGACCCCCCCACACACACACACACACACACACCACCACCCCCCTTTTCAAATAATCCTGGATCTGCCCCTGGTCACCATAAACGGAAAACCATGTGACTTATTATTCTCAAACTTGGAATGATGATTCTTCAGACTGAAATGCAGTTTTAGTTCCAAAACCAAATAATCCTCAATACCCAGTAGTCGTATTTAACACAAAACATATGAAAAGTATCTTCCTTACTTACAGTATCCTTTCATAAAATATTCTGAAACATGTGGCAATGTATTTAATACACTGCCTAGCTGAAATAAGTACTAACATAAACCGTTAGAAGTTTACCAAAAAAAGTTAAGCATTAAATGAGAAACTGTAAGTTGGTTTACATTTTGAAAATGCTACCCAGATGATGCCAAAAAAAAGAAATAAAAAAAAATAGAAAAACTTGAAAAACTGCTGCCTAGGTTACTGAATTACGAAAATGAGCATGTTGCATTCCTTTTTTTGTACAAATACTGTAAGTGATAGCACATCTTCAACTGAATGGATATTGAATGTGAGGAGTGATTATTAAAAAAGACATTTAAAAATCTGTAATAAAGAAGTATCACATACAAACTAAAATTTCATCACAGCACTCTCAAAATAAAAAATGATATATGAACAAAGAACAGACAATACACCAGGCCTAAGAGAACGGTAATTACTCAATCTTTTCAATGGGGGAAAATTGTTAATTTTACAGTTACTGTATTTTTAAGTAATATTTTTTTGAAAATTAGAACATTCATATTGAGTGGTAGCAACAAAACTATATAGCAGGCTACTCGCTTCCATCCAGTAAAAGCAACACAAATGATAAACAGAAATATAATTTTTTGTAATTATGAAATTATGCATCTGAAAGTTTGATTTTTTTTCCCATTGAAAAAAAGGGGTTAATTATTGTACACATGCAAAGAGACATTTGAAATTATTGCAACCTGAAGACTAAATATTAATATTCAGTAAGTTCTGTATGACTTGGTCTTGTACATAATATACTGGTTGAATACACAACCTGCAAAACATAGACAAAGTCACAGACAAAGCTCCTTCACAGAAGTGTTTTCAAAACTTGAAAATAATTACAAGTTATATCAATAAGAAAAAGTTTAATTTTCTACTCTAATTTGGTTCAGTATTCTCAATTTTATATGCTCCCTGCAGGAAAAAATCATCAAAATCAATTGTAATCAAATTTTTATATCCATAATCACCTGCAGAGAGAGGAAAACAGTAAAATAAGATCCACATCTGTCATATATTTTCATAACGGCCCTTGCTCAGGCAAAAACCTTCTAAATATCAAACTTTGTTTTTCCCATGTTTTCAAGATCACTCCTCCTTTGGTCATTCTCCCCTGTACTTTCACTTTCTGTTTGTACAGCATCCAGTAGGTTCCAGAAATACTGCACAATCTTAGGAACTGAGCTCTCTCCAATTTCGTTCAAGGAGGCGAAGCTGCTAAAACTGGACACTGTGGACAAGCTGCGACGCAGTGTCTGATGGTGAAGGTCACTGATGTCCGTCTCCATGATGACCGGCTGATGGGTCAGTCCTGAGATTAAATGTTGTAGGAGGTTGCGTTCTTGTTCCTCGTTCAGCGGCCGTAGTCTAGTGACAACTTTGGCCAAGTACTCTAAAGTGTGCTTTGGCCCCTTAAATAATTATAATTTTAAAAATGTATGGAAGGAATATAATGTTAGTTTTTAGCTAGTTTTAAGTTAGTGATTTTTTTCCCAAATTGTGCCATGCAGTAGATGGGCCTACAGGCCCCTTAACTCCTTTCCAAAGTAAATAGAAATTTCAAAGGGTGCTATGCGGCTGATGCGCCTTAAGGCCTCTTTACTCCTTTACAAAATAAAAAAGATGGAAAATTCAAAAAGTTATGTTTATTTACATGCATCTTTTCTTACCTTTTCTAATGTGGTAAGCCCTTTTAAAGGTTCCTCTACGTACTGTAACATCAATTTTAAGTCTTGGATTCGTAGAATGGGTTCCTTAAAAATTTCAAAATGGAATGCATTCAGTCAAAAAAAAAATGCTTATTCAACAACCATCTGCAATACATACAAACATAACAGTCAAAAGGTCACAAGTGGCTACGTCCACTGTTTAATGTAATGCTTCAATTCAATGACTTAATTCGACCAGTTTATCAATGAAAATTGTTGATAACTGTGAATGATAGCCCAAGAATCTGGTCCAACTTGAATCAGCTGCTTCTTTATTCTCAAACCTCCATGGGTGCATGTTTTTTCATACTCTGACCATCAGCAGCAGTAAATTTGTATTAAGTTTGATGTACCACAGATATGCACCTAGCCATCCAAATAATGTCACAGTGGTTTCCTAGAGCCCATTTAAAACAGATGAGCCATCTACTGATCTGCAGATCAAATATGGCGGACTCTACATGAAACCAGGGTCTGCTAAATCCCATAAAGAGCTCCCTGCCTCCACACGCGCCATTAAATGGATTAAAGCTCAGCTCTGAGGTTTAATTGTAAGTCCCTGCCATGGCGCATGTGGAGCTTGGAGGCGGGGAGACCAATACAGGATTTAGCGGTCTTACTTTAATGTATGTTCCATGCCCGTGAATTGAGTTTACTTGGCAGCCACTTTTTCAATTAAAAGAAGAATGTTATAGAAGCCGAAGCATTTTTTGTGGAAAGAAGAAAAAGGAACCCTTTTCTATTTCCTTGTTCTAACAGAGTAAACTTCCATCAAATGCTGCTGAAGTTCAGGTACGACTAGCGTGAAAGTATGGAAATTTGTGAATGAGGAGTCTGGCCCTTGTTAGGTTCAATACTGAAACCCACACAGGTTATAAACAACACACTTAATTATCTTGTTATACCTTGAGGTGGTCTATCCAGCTCCACAGCATGTGCCCTAGTACATAGGGGTTGGACTCTTTGTAAACATTTTCCCAACCTGTATCCACTGTGTTCAGTTGGTGCTGGAAAAATAAAGAAATAAATATATAAATATATGTAAAGTCGCATATAAGTTATTTACATATGTAAATGCGTATCAAACAAAACTTTTCACTAACTATAAATAAAAAAAGCAATGTTACTTTTATTTTAAGCATTTATGACTACTGGCCTCCTGTAAAATTTTTTGGCAAAACCATTTTCAATGAAAAAATATAGAAGTATATTATTTGTGTTAAATTATGAATTCTTATTGGCGGTTTAAAGTAAAACTAATAGCATAATACTAAAAATTAATTTGATGATTTTATCTATAACCAAAATATACACTAGGCTATTTGCATGCAAAAGTGTAAACTGTTTTTAAAAACATGACTGTACTAGTATGTGTCTATGACATAACACCTTAAGAATTTTACATACCTGATATTCCTCGGAACTTGTAACATCCGTCTGCTGGTGTTCCGCTACTGTCATGGCGTCCACAACTTTTGTAACACTTCCCTCCTCCTGTGGCTCATTACTCAAACTCTCAGCCCCTGATGTAGGGCTCAAACTGCCACTACGATTTTCATCACTCTGTGACGAACTGCATTCCAGACTAGCATCTAGGCTATTATCAGAGTTATTTGCTTGCAGCTTGGTGTCTCTTTCATTGACAAATGCTTCTGATGCCGTCTCCTTGATCACGTCTAAATTTTCAATGTGGTGTGTCTTGGTACAAGCTTCCTCCAGGTGGCGCTTGCGTTTGTTTGCTAACTCCAGGAGTCGCTCACATAAGACATAGATAGGCTGAAGAAAATTTGGTATATTTAAATTATTAATAAAATATTATACTAATGTAATGTTTTTCATTCCAGATATCAGGTTGCAAATCACAACAAAAACTTGGTAAAACAATTTCTTCAATTCTAATATAATATAATATAATATTATTATAATAGTTAGTATGTTATTTCTTATTAGGCACTAAAACTTGAAGTATGGTAAATGTCAGTAAAATACAAAAGAAGTTTCATATGTATATTTTTGATGGAGTTGCATATTTGTGGCCATATCAGAATGACATTATCTCCCAAAACATAATTAAAATTTATTAAACACCGGTGTTTATCTCTTAAGGTTTCTTGAGTGAACTGCGTGAATACTTGGTTGTATATATAATATGCATGCTTTTAAAAATACTGGGGGTTTGAAAAATTGAGGAAATTTTTTGATTTTGCCTCCCAGAAAAAGAGTTATTTTTTAATGCATACAAATTTAAGATTCACATGAAAAGTTACTTACCCTCAAAACAAAGTCATTAAACAACAATAAACAAAAATTATAATCTATATAAAACTTGAATGGGTCAAGTCTAAGAAAATTAACCTCCTTCTGTGACAGTTCATCTTTTTCTTATTTAAATCTATTCATCTTCATTAATTATTTATTTTATTTATCTATTTCAGTAGCAAAATGGTACCTTTGGAATGTGTTTCAGTTTTCTTGCCTCGTATCCATGTAACATCTGTTTTTGCCTCACGAGGTACTTTGCCAGGGTGAACTCTGTAGCCTCTGACCCCCTGGATACAAAAACAAGTGGACACAATCAGAAATAACAAATATTTAGATTTCCTATGAACTTTCAATCATTCAATTAGATTTTCTGTACATTGTCACCAGTTTTTTTTCCCTTGGTGAAATAACCCTGGTAAATCTATTTCATCAAATAACCAGTAAACTGTAATTTGTGTTCAAACCACTAGAATTTTTCAATGTAATTACAGTGACCAGTAAACCTGATGCATATTCATTTAATAACCAAAATTTCCTGTATACTCACAGGGTTGCATAAATTATTCTTCTGGGTACCAAGTAATCAGCAAATTCTTGAATACACTTTATCTGGCCGGAAGTTTGAATGGCATTGGGACTGGAAGACAAAAATTTGCCGTTAATCATTAAATTGTTTAAAATGACATTAAGTATGCTGCATTCTAAGTTAATTGTGTATTTCTTCAGTCTGGTTGATGTCATTTATTTCACCAGTTAGTGTTCACTGAAAATGTCAGTTTACCACCAAAATGGTTCTGGGAATATTAAAAAATTTAGATTGAAACAAAAAAAAGTTGCAATCTAATTAATTCTGTAGTCTGTAACAGATACAGATTCATAAGTCACAGGGAATAGGACAGGAACAGGAGCCCCCCCCCCCCGAGCCCCCCCCCCCTCCGACCCACTTGTGGGTCAAGTTTTCCTCTATATTATACACAATAACATGCATTGTATAGAGTCTTGTGTGCATGCACTGCATCATCATATATAATATCCATAGGATATCACCATATGTATGAAGTTATGATATACTTGTACACTTTATATGCAATGTTTATATGGAGAGCCTGCAAAGCACATGTCACTTTCAATAAGTAATTTCTGGTTGGCGAAGTTTCAGAAGATGTGAGGGATTTTTCATTCTGCCTTGACTCTGAGAGAAAAAGCCAGAATGCCAATCACATTCTGAATGTCATTACGTGTGTCATTAGGAAGGCCTGTAAGCCATATTTGCTACAGTCTGATAAGAATAGAGCATACACTGCTTACCGTTTTAATCTTACAAACTGGATGGCTTCGTCAGCCTCTATTCTGTTGTTAAAGACCAGAAAACAGGCTATCAGCACTCCAGTGCGCCCTGAAATAACAAAACACATACTGTGTGAGAAAAGCACTGAACCCAAATACTTTTTAAAGTAATACTTTTTAAATACAAATTTTAAAGTTTTAAAAAACTGAAATGTTGTCTTAAACATCAAAGCAATAGTTACCACTACTTAAACAACAACCTTAAAAGTGAGGCAATTCTTGCAAAAAGCACATGACAATAAAACAAAACATCTTTCACATGTGCCACCTAAGTACACAGGGGCTCTCACTGAATGCAATTAGGTTATTTAACATACAAATACACCTCCCTCTGGCATTGAGTAATATACACAAAAGCTGCAAATTATTTGTCAACGACTACATTGGAAACAAGTGGAGAGTACAGGTATCTGACTTCGAACAGCAGTTTTGTTTAACTCCTTTATTCTTTGAGGCCAAACATGTTCATTTGTTCTGTTTAATCGTAATATACAGTGGGTATTAAAATGGGCCACAGGTTTATACAAACATATTTATTCTGCATACCTAGCCCTGCGTGGCAGTGTATGGACACCTTGCCTTGGGAAACTGCAAACTGCATCACCTTCACCATGTCCAAGATGGTAGACATGGAGGCCACACCATAGTCCTTCCTATTGAATTTTGAATGGGCAGGTAAAATTAAAATTTTTATTCCATAAGGTTTAAGTACTTCAAAATTGCTGAAATAGTTCTGATTGAGTAGTTCAATATAATAATTACTGTGAATTATCTAAAACAAAATTTTCACAAAAAAAGACCAAATTTAATATTGATTGAAACATCCAACAGTTGTTAAATGACAAAAATTAAGTACTGCTTGTTATTTTGCAAGGATAACATCTCTTAATATTCATTATTATTGGGAAAATTTTAAAATTATATACTTGAGAACATAAAACACATTAGAAAATTGAAGTTACGCAGAAAAGTGAATTCTGTTATTTGATGCATATATTAGGCCTGTGAATTAATACCTTTAAGACAAACTTACCATCCAAAGTTGTAAAAGAATACTGAAAAAAAATAGGATGTTAATGAATAAGTTTTGATTTACTTTGAAATTTTTCCTTTGACTGTCTCAACCAGTTAACTGTTGCCCAAAATTTATTCATATTGTACGACAAAATAAATTAATAAATATACAAGTTAATGAAGGATGCTATACTAAATTAAATTTTCTTCTTCTGATACTAATTCTAATACTCATTAGAAAATTAGGATTCAAAAGTCACAATTCACATAAATGTACCACTTTTGTCCCTGAATCATTATGGACAACCTTGAATGAGAAATGCTCAGATTTTAGATTAATTCACATACCTGATCAGAACAACATATCATTCACAAATTGAGTTTCAATCCTTTTGAGAAATAAAAAAAATCCCAGATTTTATAAACTGATTCACATACAACAACACAATTCAGGTTTCACATACTGCCTTTGTCCATGAACTCCTGTGGGTCGTATGAAAATCCCAGACTATGCAACCCATATCCGCAGCTTGCATGTTCCCCAGGCTTCTGTAGATTGATAATGGACTTGATGCCAGCACTGTTTAATATAAATATTAAGTACACCAATTATACATATGTTATATCTATTAAATAATTATAACTGAATATATGATAATTATAATATTTGGACTAATTATTCACTCATATAAAAGAAAGGTGTGTCTAATGTCCTTACCAATTTCATATCAGATTCCGTAAAAACTTTAATTTTAACTAGACTGCAACTGGCTGAAGCCAGTGGCGGAGGATTCCCCTGCAAAATAGGGGTGGAATGACCTTGAAGAAAAGGATCAATTACAAGGCCATGTGCTAAATCTGATGCCATATCCTGAAAGGGGGGCAACAAAACATCACTTTTAGCCCACTTCAATATTTCTCCATGAAATAGCCGAATGACCTTGAAAATGAGGGTCAAGGTCAAATTTGACACTTGATTTGGGGGTGTTGGGTATATGTTTGGGGTAGTTTACTATAGCATGTTATCACAAAAAATCAATATTTCATGAAGAAATTGACGAAGTCACTATTTCTGTGAAATTATTAATATTTAAAAATCTATATTAAAAAAACTAATCAGTCAATTGTCAATATTATTAGATACTGCACTGGATAGATATCTAGGGCAACTTTTTACATCAACCTTGTGGCTCTGTGACATCTGGTTTACCCCCTGCCGAGTGTCAACCTCCTGGAGCATATTTTGCAATAGGTTGACCTTGACCTGACCTACTTTCCTAAAATTACATCACTTGATATAGAATTATTGTGTGACCTCACCTGTGAAAGGATTTGTCAAAATGTTGAAAATTCTAGGAGATATTGCATTTTGAAATTTGCAAAAATTTCACTTTAAAAGGCTCTTTGACCTTGAAAATTAGGTCAAGGTCAAAAAAATTGGGTGGACCGGAATAACTTTTCATAGGCTATCAGTATGAATTTTTTCAGAATTTTAGAAAGAAATTTTTTGACGAAAAATAAGAAGAAGAAGAAGAACAGGAAAAACAATAGTATCCTAATAAGTTAAACATAAAAATATGATACCCACTCATTAAACTTTTCAAGAAGATCATGCTTCTGCATATTAGTGCTGTTAGGGCGAGCCATGGCAAGAATATTTTCTGTCACCCTGTAATAAAAAGAAAAGTTCTTAATCTACACAGTGACTCAAAAAGTAAGATATATTCAAAATCTCATTTTCAAGCTTGTTTAATAATTGAAACATGATTATAAAAATAAATAAATATTATTAAGTAAATAAAATGAAATAATTGCCACCTCTTTTTCTGTCCCAATATTCAATTATAAGACAAATGTACAAGTGATATGCACAACTACCGGTAGCATTTCTTGACAGTCTTGTTGAACATTTGAGGTCGTTTGAAATGATGAAACAAAATATCCTGAAATTATTGGCATCATAATACTTAATTCACATTAAATTACTTGAGTTGTAGACATATAAAAGTTAAAATAATAATAATAATAAATTCATCCCACAAAACAACAGGTGAAAGTTATGTTATTACTATGCATCTATTAATTTTTTTCATGATGTCACAGTGTTTTGTTTTTCATTATGTGTTTTTCTTATGTGAACATGATCAACACAGACATTGTGACAATTCTTTGATGATTCATCTACCATATAGAAAACAATATCAAAACTGTCGAGAAATGTTTCATGTTTAACCCTGCAGAATTTTCACCACTCAACAAGCAAACAAAAAACCAAGGCAACCACATACCCTATTACTTGGCTTCAATCAGAAAGAATTTATATATATTGATTTTTCCATCTTAACCTCACACAGGGATCATTTCTTTGGTTATCTAGAAATTCCAAGTTGTGTTTGTGTAAGGACAGAATCTAAAATCATTTATCAAAACTTAATCAAGAATGTAATTATTAATTAAAGAGACAGAAAAACACTTTACACCTCTGGCCGTATGTTATTGATTTTCTTGCCTATTTGATACATTGGTACAGCCTTATGTAACTGTAACTGAGCATAAAAGTACCCTTTAAATAGTACCTTTTAGTAAAATAAACATAAAATCAAGAAAAACAATCATATCATTGGCTGTCAAGTACCATTCTGTACCAATGAATTTTCTCATTATAAATATATTTCTAGGTTCTAGATTCCGGTATTGCCAGCTCGATCTTGATTTCATATATAACCCATAGTAGCGACTCCACCACAAGGTATATTTAGCAAGCTAGCTTTTACGTTGCTCTGACACTCAGGGTAATACCGGTATATATGGGACTCGCTCAAAAAGATTCATTTTTGTTTTGCTGTGAAAAAATATTGTTTCCTGTTTGGTACATGTACCTTTAATAGTCAGTAAACAAACCCAATTATCTCCCAAAACAGAAAACACCCAAAGAACACAGACCTCTGACAAGAAAAAAAGCAACAAAGAGTTATTTACGAAAAATCAGACTTGGTTTAAGTTGAAAAAAGTAATTTCGCCTCTATCCCTCTTGAATATAATTGTCTATCCTTAAAATTGCACCAAATCTTGCAAACGAAGTATCTGTAGTTTTTACAACCACATCAATAATCATCTCTAAAAGCCAAACTGATAAAGATGAATACATAACCCCCTTTGTTGGTAGACAAAGGTACAAAATGTAACTTCCTTTATGACAGGTAACAGCATTTTGTGCTGACAACATTATTGATTTTTTGTCCCTGGGCCCATGTTGTGTTTCAGTATATGTGGAACCATTTGATTTAGTTACCATCTATGTCACATGTTCATGCTGACAATCAGACTATTCAAACTGACTGACAGAAAATTAATAGATCAACCAATCTGCCAATCAATCAATTAATTAATCAATCATCAAGCCATCCAACAATGGATCAGTTGGTTAATCAAACAAACAATAGGGGAGTCAGGACTAGTTGGACCCCGGGGTAAGTAGCCCCCCCCCCAATCAATTTATGACAAAGTAACTATGGAGTAAAAGAATTGATCACATCCTTTTGTAAAGTGACCATATCCAATAGTGCTAAGAAAGCGTCGGCAGCCAGTCCAAATGAAATAATTTAGCATCTTTAAGTAACTTCATTAAAGAGACTTGATGGGGGGCCAACTTACCCCGGGGTCCAACTAGCCCCAGTCTCCCTTACCAAATAAAGGTACAAGGGCAGAGATTACTATTTACCAGTGAGAAAAGAGCCCTGTGATTGCCATCTCGTCCTCTTTCCAGAATGTGTCCGATTCGTACTTGCACTTCTGTCCTCCACAGAACATGGAGCACATCTTCTCCTCCGAGATCGTGCCACGGATTTTGTTAGAAAAGAAACCATACTTGGATTTTGGTTTCAGTGCTAGAGGATAAAGCAAATAATAATGATAATAATGATAATAATAATAATAAAAAGAAATAATAATAATAATCCAATCGCAATGTTTTTAACAGAAATGTGTTTTAATGCTGTAAACTATTCTTATAAATCTTAAAATAATAAGTAAGATATTTTCCCAATGTAGTGCTTTATTAAAATAAGAAAAGTGCGCCAGAATGGCAATGGCAGTAGCACACGAGTATTATGGCTTAATATGTCTAGACACATATAGCGCCTCTCCAGAATAAGAGGAAATATGCCTTTGTTAAAAATCTGGGTTACATATCAAAAGACAAACAAACATGACCTAATTTGCACTTTCGTTTCCCTCTCTAGAAGAAAAAAACCAATGTAACTGTTGTATCAAAACGTAAATATTAAGGAAAGACAAACATGCCATATTTCTGAAATGAAAAGTCAATTTGAAAGTAAAAAATCTAACATGACCTTGCTGAAATAAACTGCATGTTTCACATTTTGCTAGGGAATTTCTACAAAATAAGCACACCTTATGAGTACAGTAATAATAGGACATGCTTTTAAATAATTAAATCACCAAATGCAATGATTAATGCATAATATATTATTTATATACATAAACAATTACACCCTACCACTTCCAACAGCAACTCCCATGTTTCAACATGTAGCTCAGGCCGTTGCCTTTCCATATAACTCACAAATCAACATGTCTACATGCTCAGTTCACCTGCTTAAACCAAGGAAGCTTGAAGCTACCTATTTATCAAAATGAAGGACAACTACATTAAACATGACCTTTAGTTTACAACCGGGACTGTCTCAAGAAATTGATTTGTTTGTTTATTCGACTGTGCGATATTGAAAGTACCGGGAACATGTAGGTATGCTCACTGTTCTATAATTAATGTTACACTAATAAAATAATAATTAATTACAATAATTTGGAAATGAGTACAATCAATAAACAGGGATTGACATTAAGGGTTGGGTGGTTGTGTTTTACAACTCAGGCAACCAAATCTTGACCAGCAGCTGCCCGACAATGCATCCGATTCCATTTTGAATATTTTTTTATTTATTGTACTAAATGTAGGTTTTACAGTGTGTTTTATGGGATTGGCTCCTCTGGACAATGTGTGCAGTAGTTTTTTGTGTTGATTATAAGATAGCATACAGAGTATATATTAAATTTTCTGTACTCTTTTTGTAAAAAAAGCAGAGAAACTGGCAAAACCTTTTATTTGGCATTCTTTTTGAATCTGAGATACCAGTTAAAATAAAGTTTTTTCATTGCATGCTAGGTAACCTCCCTCCCCAGGGGAATTTTTTTTAAATCTGGTACAGCAACCAAACCGCTGGTCCTGGTTGCGTTCAGTAGCTACTAACTGAAAAAATAATGTCCAGCACTGCATAAGGGTCTGCAATAGACTTCATACCAATAAAATACATGACTGTTCTGTTAAATAAACATTAATCGTTGCCTGATAACTTGGATTATCATTTATCTTAAACAATCCTTATGAAATGGATTTTTTCTTTGATATTAGATGAAATTAACTCAAATCTTGGAACTATGAACAAATTTTTAGTTCTCAGAGTGTCAGAGTATTGCATATACATGTAAGCCTGTTGTACTTGCATATACTAAACGTAATATACTACATGTAAACATTCACAGACCATATCATACTAACTATGGATCGATCTATCTTCCAGGAGATTCTCACTAGATTGCAATCAACTTAAGCAGCTTAGATGCCTGTCATACCTACTAAAGCTGATAGGGGGTAATTATTTATCATTCAGCAGCTTCAACAGGCTTGTCAGACATTTTAAGTTGCTTAAGCTGAAAGCAATTTAGCAAGAGACCCCTCGGTGATGGATTGATCCTGTGAGATATATCTAGATATGGGAACCCAGTCATAGAGTTAAGTACATATTCTTACTTGAAGCTGGAGTCCAATGGTTAAGAAGAATAGTTAAGTGCAGTGAAGGATATTTGGATCACAATAAATTAATAATCAACCTCTTTTACGCATATCCTTTTCTGGTTGTTTCAAAAAATCAATTTCCAGGAAAAACAACGTAGTTTTTCTTTAGGCCAAAGAACTGTCTTCACTATGGCAACAGCCCGTTAATATCGGCAGTGCTAGGTGACCTGCACTAATGGTATAAGTCCTGAATATACTAATTGCCTGAAATAACCCTGTTACAGTTCAGTACACACACACACACACACACACACACACACACACACACACACGTTACAGAAATGGTTCTAATGTGTATTTATTTTTCTTTTCATGTAATGGAAGTTTTCTCCTGCAGAGATGCCTGCATGTTGTTCAATGCGGGCATATTGAGCAGAATGGATTCTCTGTGTGGACAATAAATATAATTTTTGGAACGAGCATGTTAAGTAATTAAAATGAGCAGATGAAAAGTAACATATATCAGTGAATTATTGCTTTTTCAATACAAAGACTTCATGAGAGGCATTTTGTTTTTTAAAGAGTATGGGAACCTGCAAGATGCTTTTTGGTGACTCAATTAATTAATTAAGATTTCCCAAGACAAGGGTGCTCTAATACGAGCAATGAATAGACAAGATGCCTTTGTTGAAAATCGCTGTGAGAGGGTCCCTTCAGATAAGGGTGATGGGGCTGAGTGGGGTGAGATATCCCAGTAGTAACTGTTACGGATGTAAGATGGGAACCTGCAAGACGTTTTTTGGTGAGTCAATTAGGATTCCTCTAGACAAAGATGCTCTAATACGAACAATGAATAGGCAAAATGCCTTTGGTGAAAATCCCTGTGAGAGGGTCCCTTCAGATAAGGGTGCCTTCATTGGGCTGATTGGGGTGAGATATCCCAGTAGTAACTGTTACGGATGTCAGATGTTTGAAATTTAATGTGTCATATGTCTTACGTATCGTCTTTATTCCAGTTTTTTTTTTTTTTTAATAATAAGCCCAGGTTCCACTTTAATTAAGTGTTCGTTTTATAATACTAATTGCAATACCAATGATTATGTAGGAGAATAGTAAAATACTAGAAATGCCAGAGGCATAGTGTATTTGTGTATTCCATGACCTACATCTGTCATTGTCAGCATACTGTTGCTGTGCACTTTTCACCATTAGTGCAATTTGTGGAGGACCATATGACGTATTATCCTCAAACTTACTGGAATGATTTATGGCACTAAATTACAGGTAAAGTTTGAAAAGCAGCTTTGTTTGATTAATTTTCTTGAATTTCTAGAATGATGCACTTTTTTTGCAGAAACTCAAGGTGACAGAATATAGATCACTTCATGTTATATCTTTCCACTAAAAGAAAATCTCAAGGTCAAAATCATTACAAAGTGGCAGTCGATTTGAAAACTGATGCCAACCCTTCATGTTTTTAAATGTATTGTCTTTACATATACCCAATACAGTAATTAATCAGAAAATTTGCAAAAAAAAGAGAAAAAAAATATTACTGAAAATCATAATTCCAAAAAATTAAAAAAAACCCAAAGGATGATTTGAAAGTTTTGGAAAGCAAACTTTGTACAATCCAGAAAAGACTGTGAGTGTATATTAAAAAAAAAAGAAATCCAGGAAAAAAATAAATGTTGAAATAAGTGAGGTTTGAAATTTTTGAAAAACTACCGTATCTCTCATTCAGAATGACTGATGAAAACCCATTATCTACTATTGCCATTACATTTATGTGGTCAGAGAATGAAGAAAATAGCTTTGGCAATCAATATTTCACCATGGTCTAGGAACGGTAAAATATAAAGCACCAAATAGTAGTACATGTAGTACATCTACAAGTCCAATACCAAATTCTAAATTTCTATTCATGCAAAACTCTGTATCACATAAATTAAATAGATTCTAGATTAAATATTTTAAATCTTGGCCAAAACTTTTATCCATTTCTTCTGTATCTACTAAAGTTTGATTTACACTAAAAGGCCAATTCAAATAGTCCCATGGCTAGCCTGTAAATATACTCAATTCTTTAAAATAAAAAATAAATAAATTTAAAAGATTTATAATCAAGCCCATATTTTTTCTTAAAACAGACTTTCAAATAATTGAAAGGTGTCTGGTTTTTCCTTTCTAGACTTTTTTTTTATATTATTCCCCTTTCTTGCAAATCTATATTTTACCATGGGTTACATATAGTAACTAAAAGCATCAGATCCACCCATCATCATCAACAACAATTTTCTATAAATCTCCATGCTAAAAAAATATACCTTTCAGAGCATTTGCAGTATCCTCATCCGTTGCATCCCAGTCAATATTCTCTGGATTGGTGACAGAGAAATCTGGGTCCATGATGCTGTGCCAGCTGGCAATGACAGGTCTAGGGTGCCAACATGAAACCAGCACATCTACAACCCATGATGATACTGCTAGACTTCTGTTGCCACCAGGTTCTTTTTTTTTACTGTTATTGTCAGCTGGGGAATACATTTATAAATGAAAATTAGAACAACTTCCAATCCATTTTTATTGGATTGTCCACCAGAAGAGAATTTTTATGAAACAACTACCTACAGTAGAGTATATATTCCCATCACCAAAGCATCATTAAGCTGACCTCCTAAGACATTTCCTCAATATCACCCTGAATTTCAGAGGCCACTGTAAACACACTATTATCAGATACTGGTACTGCAGAATAATAATAATAATAATAATAATAATAATAATAATAATAATAATAATAATAAACACATAATACATATAGTTGTGATTTTCTGGTGACCTCTCAAACCCAGGGTGCATATTGATCCTGTAGCAAAAATCTATATAACTATCCAAATATGTTTCACTGTGGGTTTATGAAAACTTTGTCAAAAAAGTAATTGACTGAGACTATAAGCACTGTACATGTAATAAGTACCTGTAATAGTGTATTAAAAATGAGAATGCTGCGGCCTACCTGGCAGGGACAGGTTTTTCAGGTCATCCATTTTGATTATAAATATTTATAATTTTCACAAGTCTACAAAGCGAAGACTTTCACTTTCACTTTAACTACCCCTTCAGTGAGTACATGTACCCAGTATAAGGTGAAAATCTAAAAATGCTGACTGTTGCCAACAAAACCCTGGGGTGAATATTACCATTTATATTATATTTCAAAAGCATACAGAGGGAATTACCCCCACCCCAAGCATATGATTTGTACACTTGTAAAAATGTCATGATAAAATTGGGTGACCTCTGATAAAATTGGATGATCCCTAAGTAAAATCAAGATACCAAATAATAGCAGAATGTGTAAAATTTTAAGAACACGTTTGTGGGAAGTTCATGTACTCACCACCCGTCGTTTCCCTCCTAGGGCTACGTTTTTGACCAGATAATTGTATAAGTCACCACAGTTTTCACTAGTACGTGCACTGAGGTTGAATAGTTTTGTGGCATTAATTTCTGACAGCTCGATAACGATGATCGATTAAATTAACAATTAAAAAGAAAGTAAGCCAGTGACTTATGAAAAAATGGTTTAACTGAATTGACGTTTATGCTCCTCGTGAAGATCAAACGCTAATGCAATCGATTCAAAGTAGTAAATATGTGTTATAAAATGCACAATAAAATCTAAAACATTTGCACAAACCTCCAATTCCCTGGTTGCTATTCGATGCTACTGCAGATGGCGAGCCCGGATGCGGGATTTCATTTCGGCTGTGTAATTTTACTGTCAAAATGCCATAAAACTCAATATAAACACGGTATTATATGAAAAATAGCATAATTTTACATATTTTTATTTGGGTTATTTAGTGAACTTTTCTGTCAAAACAATTAAAAAAGACAAAAATATTAAATTATGATCCCACTCTTTTATCAAATGAGATCTGAAAGTCTGCTACCGCAAAGTGCCCGTATAATGCAAACTTTGGAAGGAGATGTGAGCGCAGATATGGCCACTGACAAGTTGAAGAGCGTGCGGAGGAATTTGCACCCAGCTGAAGCAAACCCAGTAAGTAGGCAGGTTGGAATAGCTACGTAGATTGTATTTAGATCTACCATGTATATCGTCAAAGTTTTTCAATATCTGCAGCCAGCTTTGCTCAAGAACGAAACAAGTCGAGTTTTGTATTAAAATTTTGTCTGGCGAGTGACATACGGTAATACGTGACATATAAATTATTGTGTCACGTAGAACTTCTTGTCTTTTCAGACTTCCGTCTTTTATCGTTCTTCTTACTGTCTAACTCCTTTAAAATTTGGGATTTCCATTTCTACAGCTGTTCGTTTATGTACGTGCTTTCTCACAGGTTTACTTTAGAGCCACAATTAAGTCAAGAGATAAAAAAATGTTAGTTGTTCACGTTTTCAGTTTCAAACAGGAGGTATCTTGAGTCTTATTTGCATTTTCAAATTATTTTATACAAGAATAACAAAATAGATTTTTATACCTTGTACATCATGCATATTCTTAGCACCACCACCCCCATAAAATAAAATTTAAAAAATGAGGTACACCTTCACCTGAACAGGTATTTCAGTTGTTAACAGACAAAATGGTCAACAGGTAAATCAAAATATATGGATCTATCATAAACGAAAACATCTTTAACTATTTATATGGAAATATTCAAATATAACATCTCGTTTCTTCAATGAATCGGGCTTTAATGCCTATATTTATGCCCTCTTGATTTCCAGGTATTACATCCTACGTCTGGGCTCTATTCACAATCATCTGTTGGGGACTACAGATACACCTTGCCAAACTCAGTATTAACAGATGCTCAAAGGAAATTCTATGAAGACAATGGCTTTCTTGTTATCCCTAAATTAGTCAGTAAAGACAAGCTAGAGAAGTACAGGTGAGCTATAGATTCCAAAGATTTTTAAAATCTATTATTATTATTATTATTATTATTATTATTATTATTATTATTATTGCATACTTCAGAGGTACAATAAATGAAACTTTAAAGAGGACTTTTAGATATTTTCAAATATATACATACTGTATTTAATAAGGGTCACTTGCCAGTTTATGCATTTACATAAAATTGCAACATTTTGACTAACTAAAGACATTTTTAGTCAACCATTGTTGAAATTATGCTAATTGACTTTGAAAATTAAATGTCAATTTATACTATTCTAATTTATAATGTTATACATATTTGTTATTTCATTAGCATCATAGCCTTATCTCTATTTTATAGTATAATAAGAAATAAAGATGGCTCTAATACTTATTTGTTTTTATAGAGTAAGATTCCAAGAAATATGTGAGAAGAAAGTAATTGTGCCCAATATTACCATCATGAGGGATGTGGCCATTGCAAGTTCCGAGTTTGTACCTGGGGAGCAAGCTATCACAAAACTACAGGACTTTCAAGAGGACCCTGTCTTGTTTAGTTATTGTTCTCTTCCCGAGGTAGTTTACACATGTTAATAAATGGTGAATTTTTGTTATTTTTGCTTATTTACTGACTACTCCTACTTAAATTGAATCAGATTTAGAAATTATAAAAAAAAGTTGCAACATTTAGCAGATACCAAGTTGAAGAATTGTCAAAAACTTTGAAGGTGTATCTGTTCCCTCTTAATAATAACAACAGAAATATATTCATGTGGGATTTTAAAAAAAATTCCTTACATTTTCAGGTAACAAAGTATGCTGAAGCATTCCTTGGACCAAACATAATGGCCATGCATACTATGCTGATCAACAAACCTCCAGACCCAGGTGAAAGAAAGTGTGCTTATAATTTCCAGACTTGATATGTGTATTTTATTTTCAAAATTTTGAAATTTTATATTGTTCTTTATGTATTCCTTGTGTTTTTTTTTTTTTTCTAAATTATGAATTTTGCAACAGTCATCAAATGTTGCATACTAGTACAAGTGTCTAGATCAGAATTTCAAATCAGTGGTATTTGATCTTTAAACTGATCAGACAAACTGATGATTTGATTGTTTACAGATTTATAAATTTTTGCCAACTGATAAGGCAAACAATATAACATAACAAGTTTCTGATTAACCAGCATAAGATTAAGTCATATTCAGAGATTGCGTATGTAAATTATGTTTATTTAATATTACATACCTATCCAGCCATGTTATTATGTCATTGTTTTATATGTAACTGGTAAAAATATATATTTGAGTAAAAAAAAATACCATTTTTATCCCCCCCCCCCCCACAAAAAAATAAATAAATAACCTGCCATATTTACGTACATTGATTTGCATTGTATTTAAATAACTTTCAAGTGAAAACATAAACATATGGCTGTGTCTTGTCTTTGATGTATATTTTTTAGTTTTATTTTTGTATGTGCAGGTGTGTGCATGCGTTGTCATATTATGAACCGAGTAATTATAATGTAATATCTAAAATTCTTCAAGGCACCAAATCCTCCAGACACCCAATGCATCAGGACCTTCACTACTTCCCTTTCCGTCCCGCCGACAGGATTGTCTGCTCGTGGACCGCCATGGAGCCTGTCAACCGCCAAAATGGCTGCCTGGTGGTGCTGCCTGGGACCCACAAGGGGGAGCTGCTGGTGCATGATTATCCCAAGTGGGAGGTACTTGTCAGATATGTTGTGTATGGCACCATCTATTTGTCATTCTGTGTATTATTTTTAGGACCCTGCTTTGGGTTTATATATAAAAGCCACGGCACATGGGGAGCTTCTCACTTAGTGAAGAGAATGTCCCTGTGTTTATCTGATATACTTCTGGGCCTGATTTTTTCTTCAGCTTCTTCTTCTTTAATCTTAGTCTGTTTTTGTTCATACTGAAAAAAAATGTGATGTTTGAATTCTTTAATGTACGTACATGTATTTTGTATGCTATGGCACATGTAGGTATGTATTTGTACATACACATTTGTGAATATTATTATCAAATTATTATCAAAGACAACGGCCCTGTGAATCAGTATTCAAAAAAAAAAATTTTTTTTCACATTTTTCCTCTCTAGGGTGGTGTAAACAAGATGTATCATGGTATTCAGGACTATTCTCCAGATCACCCCAGAGTTCACCTGGAGATGGCGCCAGGAGATACTGTTTTCTTCCACCCGCTTCTTATCCATGGGTCAGGAATGAACAGGACGAAAGGGTTTAGGAAAGTGAGTTTTTTTGTTGAATCTGTTGTCAATAGACCTGTTTGTGTTAAGGATTTAGAAATGTGAGTTTTTAAGTTGAATCTAACATAAATATTAGTAGACCTGTTTGTGTTAAGGGTTTAGAAAAGTGAGTTTTTATGTTGAATCTGACATAAATAGATTTTTTTATCAAAGTTACTGACTCATTTGGTTTTTGTGTTTTATTAAGTGTGTTTTATATTCATTCTTTCCAGTCCATCTCCTGCCACTATGCGTCTTCTGACTGTGAGTATATCGATGTGACAGGCACCAGTCAGTCAGGGCTGGCTAACGAGGTCCAGAAGATTGCAGAGAGGAGACTTGGAAAGGACGTGCAGGTCACGTTTTCTGTAAGTGCATTCTGTCAGAAACAAGGATTTTTATAAATGTTTTTGAAATATGATGGCTTGGATGCCATGAAATTTTGTAGGGAATTACAAATGATAATTTTGGACAACCTTGGTTTAACCTTGAGGTGCCACCTGAATATAAATTATATCTAGTAACATGATTGGATTCCGAGTTATTCAAGCGTAAAACATTGAAAAAAAAAACACACACACACACACACACACACACACACACACACACACACACACACACACACTAAATTCTAATACACCTTACAGGAGTAATTCTAGCCATTTCTTGGAATTTAAATATCTAATGCAATGTAACTATTCAGAATGAGAACATGTTTTATTATAATGTGAGTATTTTCATTGTAGGACATATGGTCACTGAAGGCCAGATTGGTCAAGGGGGTGCAAAGTAAGTTATAAAGACAAGGCTGAAGATGACCAGTGAGATGACCAATGAACTTTGATTTTACAAAAGATGACCAATGAGATAACCAGTGAGCATTGAGTTTATAGAACATGACCAGAAGGAGGATGCCATGTGGATACAAAAACAAAAGCACTAATAATGTGATATTTTAAGGACTTTTTTCAGCAAAAGATTGGTTGTAATCCTTGAGACAATTTTGAGATAATAATTTAGAAAAAATACAAGTTCTTTGACATGCATCAAATCAAAAGAAAAATATGTCTAGAAAGATTGGACGCCGGCTGATTGAAAGGCATGGTGGGACCATGATTTTGTAAAGAAGAGAGGGGCACAAAGAGAAAAAAGTTTTCAGGAGCAAAATGAGGCAAAGATAAAATGGTAATTGAGGATATTTTACTGTATTATGTAGTACGCAGGGATAATTTTTTACAGTAATTTATTTATTATTATTTGTTTGCATATACCTCTGTCCCCAGAAGCACTGTTGTGTGAGACATTGGGGTGAATTGCAAGAAATGCTTCTACTAATCACAAGCTGTTAGTTTACAGATGTTTTTGACATTATTTAATCTGAAGCACGAGTATCAACTTAAGGATGTATGTGATCTATAATAATTATTCTATTCAGTCAACATGAAAGAGAGGCTTTGTGTTGAATTTTGATGTAAAAACTTCGCGATTTTTTAAAATAATTTTACTGCACGAATAGAGTATGTTATTTTTGCACTTTGACCACACAACTTAATATCTGATTAAAAATTTCTTTTCACTTTTACGGTAAAACTTTATCTGCACATGGTTGTTGGGTTAAAGTGGGATTTTTAGGTTTGAGATATTTTTCTCCACAACTTTTTACCAAAATAAAAAATGACTTCAGAATTAGCTCAAACAAATTTTCATGACAGAGATTTTGGGAATTATTTGTCTCCATTTAAAGCCATATGTATGGTGAAATTAAGCCTGTGTATGACATATGTGAATGTTAATAACAGACATTTGGGTAATATTGTTTAAGGTGTAATTTTACAAAAGAGGGAAAGTGCAGATATAGGAAGATCAATTAGAATACCATAACATTGGTATGATAACATTTCAACTGTTACAGAGTTTAATTATGAAGATAGAACCTTATTCAGTGGGAATTGTGATGAATTTATCACCTTAGAAGATTTCAAGTAGAGTGATCACCAGAAACAATTTATAAAAAGAAAAATTTTGGCTAGTTCATGTTAATTTTGAAACATTGTTTGACGCCACTTTTCACTTTTCTTTTGAAGTTTTTTTTTTCATTTTTGAAAGGAATAGTTAAAGTCTATGAAAGGAGCATCAGTGAACCTATGTGTACCTGCCACCCATTAACTATAACTATTTTTCCTCAGTATTCATCATCAGACAATCTTAGATAAAGACATTTTAAAACTTGAATTGCTGAATGTGCAAGTGTTGTAATTGAACATTATAAGGAATGTTTTACAGGTTATCATTACTTATTGGAATACAAATAACTTGCAAATAAAAAAAGAAATTTCCTTTATACCAGTGCCAAATTTTGAAGCGATGAAATTGTTATGATTTTGTTGCTCAATGATTCTTACAGCAAATTGTTATGGTGAACTTATAGAACTAATTCTAATTAGTAATTTATTTTCATATTTAAGTGATTATAAATACTGACTTGTATTAGACTAGCATGTCCCAGTGGCAGAGCAGAATTGAACTTGTTTAAAGTACAGCATTTTAATTTGCAGGGAAATGAAATTTGAAGTTGTTAATCAAACAGTGTTTGTGATGAATTTTATAAAATTAAACGAAGAAAAAAAATCAATTTATGTTCTTTGTTTTATTTGTTGACTTTAATTTTATTCAATTTATTTTGAAACAATACTTTAAAGACCAAATTTACATGGTAATAATATACTTTTGTGACAAAAAGCACGTCCTCTCTACGGCAAAAAAGCGCATCTTTCTTCACTAGGGAAACGGTCCCGTGATAAAAGTCGCCATAAAGTGCGTTTCTATTATACTGCATGTTGGTCTGGGTTTGAGCGATTTCCACTTGATTTTCCCGAGAACGATAATAAAGGGTTTATTTCCTGTTAAAACAAAACTGATTTCAATAATATATGTTGTACTTACATGTGCCTTAAACTCAGGTTATTATTATTATTATTATTATTATTATTATTATTATTATTATAACCCGTAAAGGCGTCCCTTCTTCTAACGATTGCCTCCCGTCACTTGCTTTGGAACATAAAAAGATTCACCCAACAACCATTTTTACTGTACTGTTGTCATACTGTAAAGCATCATCAAGATGATGACGCTCTTCATTGTTACAAAAGCGAAGCGTAGCTGTTTCATGGATGTTTCATGATTCAAAGTGAGTTATAATCATCACTAAAACGTTTATAAATGCTACCAAAACGTGCTTGCCGAAAAATATTCAGTTTACCTATTCAATTTTGAATTCTTAACCCAGAATTTTGAGATATTTGAAACATTGCTTCCTTCTTCACTTGAAGTGGTACCATTCTACCCATGGTCTGGTTTACAAACTGTTTTTTAAATTAACAAATGGAATTTCTATGTATATCAGTCTTTGATTTCATAACCTTGTCTCTGATAAAGCCATTTTTTCCCAAATTTTCCTTAAAATGTATATTAAGATTGTTAACATGAAAATTAGAAACTTTGACATAATTCCTTTCGTAGGGATGCTTTGCTTGGTGAAAAGTTTCAAAGCCTACATCATTTGTACATTACTGGTAATTTTCCAGAATTTCCCGCATATTATATTGTGTTTTGCAACCCCTTGTCTCCTCTAACACAATCCAGTCTGAAATGCCTCACCCGAAGCGACCTGGAAATCTATAAAAATATTAATTTAGCATTAATCTTGTCTATCACCAAAGAATTTCTCTGGACATCTTTTATGTCCGTGTATATGCCACTGTAGAAGTCTAGTTTTTCCTTATATCCATGTTTGAGAATAATTATCTTGGCCTTATAGAAGGTAAATGTCAAATTATTGACAATCAATCAATCAAATAACAGGAGGCTCAGAGTAAACCGCTTTGGCCCCCAAACGCCTAATATCCTGTGTCTTTCTGTATATCTCAGTCATTCTTCTGCCATTCATATTCTCTCTTATATTGTCTGTGGATCTCGTCTTTGGCTTTCCTTTTCCTCTTTTGCCGTACTCCCATTCCTATTTCTATTTTTTCCGCACGGGATATTTTAATTGCTTTTGTCTTTTGTTGCGTTTAATGTCAGGCCGAAATTATTACTGACAAATTATTGACACGTTTATTTAATTAACTATGGCCAGATACATCAAACCTGTATTCATCACTTAAGACCATTAGCACGGGAAACTACGTGTTGGCAATTTTATTTACGTTTATTAATCTAACACAATTAGTAAACAGTAGAAGCACAAATAAATCTTCTAACTCATGATTCATAGTTCATTTATGGTGGAGTGTTTATCTGAATCTGGAAGTTGTACTGGCCGTCCCATACATTTGAAACGGTCTGCCGCGCTGCCTCTAGATAGTAAGCATGCTGTGCGACCTCTCTCTCTCTCTCTCTCTCTCTTTCTCAGTGATTCAGTTCAACAAAATTATGGTAAAATCATTAGTATCAATATTTAGTGTGCGAGCTGTTTCAAATATCAATTAAAATGACTGCCTGCACTTACAGCACTTACAGTAAAACGTGTTTATTTGCTTACTATCATCTAATGAAAGGGCATGTTTGCAAAATTTACCTCGTGTTTAATGCATATTATTCGGACAGCTTAAGTGGGGATCTTTGAAGTTAGATTGTCACAGGTGTATTTGTTTACTCGCCACCTTCCGAGGAGAGAATTCACCTGGTGACTTTCATTCAAAGCTGGTCACCTCCTTCGAACTCTAAGAGTGCTTTTGCAAGAGAGCACGTGCGACCATATTTCGATCGATGTACGTTGAAATGGCATTCAACGTAATTCTCTCTCTCTGTGTGTGTTTGCCCGTCCGTTGAGGTATTATCATTAGACTACTTTGGGTCATCATTTAGCGCTTGCAACCTGTCACAAGAAAATTGATTTTAAATTTGTTATGGTTTGGAGGTGACACTAGAGGCGTCCGTGCGTGCGTGTTTGCGTGCGTGCTCGGGTGCGCGCGTGTGTGATGAAATCAATTAGGAAAATACTAAATGAGTAATTTACCGTCAGTATACAACATGACAGCTGTGAATCGCGCAAATTGAAAAATAATCATCAATTCCTTTGAAACAAAAAAAGTGTTGACTACCGGAGGTAGAATTATCTATAGCTAAGTGCAAAACAATCAATGAAAAACGCCCACTAGTTCAGGGAAGAAGTTAAAGGTTCCAATATGTATTAATGTGTTGTAACAGTCATCCGCAACAGCCTGGAAAATACGGGCAAAATTACGCACCTAAACCATACCTGCAGGCCAGTGTATTCTGCTACGTAGGAAACGAACCTACCGCCTACGCTCGTGGTAGCCTATATGTCGCAGTAGCTTTGGCGCGTCTTTCAAGGTTGTATTTTCTTTGCATTCTGTGAAGCATGCGTAAGGCATGTACATGAACTTAATGGCGTGTGATTAATATGTGGCATTGTTTTATAAATTAATTTATTTTTCATTTTATTTGATTTTATTTTTATTTTATCATTTTTATTATTATTATTATTTTGGAGGGGGATATGACAGTCCTGGGAAGTCTGAGGTCTCATGTGGCTAGTACAGGTAAGGGTTATTACCTGTATGGAGGTCAATATCTGCGGCGAGTGTTACATGTAGAAAGTAATAGAAAACGGACTACGGTTTCCACCGAACTACCAATCCTGTCGATCTATGGCGGAACCTCAGTAAGAGCTTTTCATGCTGACTTGCCGATTAAAAAGCTAAACGTACAATCATGTCACCGGACAACGTAAAATAAAACGTGCGACGACAAATAAATTACGTCGTCGATCAAATGCAAACTACTCTACAACAAAATAATCTATAAAAACACCGGCTTAATAGATGAAATTGTATTCAGTAGGCAATCATTCAATGACAATTCTATTAACTGGTGGACATAAAAGTGAAATACTTATCACAAGCAGATGATAGCGTTACAGAACAAGCCAATGCAAAAATCAATGAAAAACACTAATTTTTAGACACCATAAACGAAGCAATTATGCAGTTGAGTCTTCTAGGCACACATCTACACATATGCAAATGTGGAACTAGAGGGCACAGTAAAACACCCCATCCCCACCCCCAGTCTTTAGAGTTACCCTTTCCTTCACATTTCCCTAAAAAAAGGTAAAACAAGCAAAATGAGACAAAACCAAGCCACTTCCTCGTACTCTACATGTTACAGCAAAACTGTCCTCTTCTTCTGTTTGCTATTTGCTCAACAAAAGCGCCCCCGCCCCCTTGGTATATCACTTGGTATATCCACTTAGTATCCTAGGTATGTCACTTGATACATGTAAAGGTTTTCGTAAAACTTAATAGAAATGAATTGAAAGACGTGGGGGACAGCATGCATATGATATGGTAATCTTCTATGAGGACTGGACACTTAAATTGACAGACAGACAGACAGACAGCAGTTGCAGGGAGGGGGAGGGGTTAGTGGAAGAGGTTTAATTTCAGTGAATATTCTAACCTCGAGCAGGGGATTGGGGCTTGAACGCCAGCCTAGCTAGGCTTGCAGCCACGTGGACACGTCGGTGACAGATATAAGTACAACTCTGCAGCGCGACACACACAAAAAACACCTTAATAGGCCTACAGAGACAGGAAACACGAGCACTTCATGTGATAAATAATCAATGAAAAACATGGTTGTGCTAGATAAATGTTTCCCGACACTAGATTTTACATTTGGCATTGACACATCAATAACAAGGGACGCGTTAATGCTGGAGCGCGTCAACCCACGTGAAAATTAATCCAAATAGCTGTTGGATAAACTACCATCAAACAAATGTGTCTCTCGTTCAGAGGGACTGGCAATGAGTGATAAGTTTTAGCTGAAACAAGACAAGAAGGACAACGCTACTTGTAGAACTACAGATTGGCATTAATAACAAAAGATACCCCAGTAGTAAAATAAGAGCACACAACAAGGAAGGACAAAAGAGGCACTATTTCTTTTTTATACACAGGGAAAATCATCGATAACAGAAGACAATGGACTAAGGCACATTGCAACTTGTAAAAAGCGCAGATCATTTTGTGAAAGGTATAAGATCCAGAACTGTTTGTCAACAGCAAGCAATGGTAACGCGTCACCAAAGGAAAGCATCATACTCATAGTGTAGTTACAATTGAAAAATAACCGAGAAGCACCATAAAAAATTCCCAATAGGTATGGGCCCTATTTTATGTGTTTGAAGGCAGTAAAAAAAATAGTTGGAATCAGCAAGGAGAAGTCGCTCAAGAGGGAGGGGACACAATAGACGAAAAAGTTTAACGATAACCAAGAACTAAAAGCGGCTTGCACGACGGAAAAACTACGCTCGGACTTGTCACATTTGAGAGCTATATTAATTAAAGAGAACTCAGAGTAATTTGACCATCAAGACTAACCTTCTCCCCTCCAACCCCTGCAAAATTGCACTTATAATCAAGGAACATCGCGATAAGGCAGTATCTGTTCTACCCAATACTACAACCAGCTTGGACAGTCGCCTCGAGTAATGGACAATGTGAATGGGTCGGTTAAGTGTTATTACCGCTGGACTACGGTCTGTAGTGACCACTGGCTAGTGCCGACAGTGACTTTAACGTTAAATCTCGGCCATAGTACTACAACGGTGCATCGATGAAGCGTTGGGTGGTTTTGGTTCTCTGTCTAGGTAAGAAATTCAGCTATTATTACTTGTGATTAAAGTCTAAATACAGCGTAGTAATTCTCATTAAATTTTATTTTAGTTTCTTGATAATTATAGTGTAAAATAACCATTACCATATTTCTCCTTTTGATGAACGTTACCTTCAGCTCAAATGTAGAAGTCTTGATGACAATTCACGGTTGGGGAATTGTTTGATAGAAAATGGGTGGCATTTTACGGGTCTTCATTGGAATATTTCACGGTTTTGTGCTCAGAAATTTATTGTTCTACAATGATATTGTTTGTACATATACATTGTTTCTGTGACAAGTTTCTTTTCTTTAGTTCGTTGAATATTTATTGCTCTGCTTTGCATCAAAATCTATCTATCTATTTTCTATGCACTGTTTAACCTTCTTCTTTTCAAATGAACTGCTGTCTTGTTCCAAACTACCACAACCAAACAGTCTTGCGGCGCCCTGCACAGCATTTGTCGAAAAACAACATCTTTGCCATCCTAAAAGCAAGTTCTTGGAGCAAGCGAGCAAGCAAAGATAATTTTTGATTTTATGCTTTAACTAAACAAAAGGTTTGCGTCCCTTTTCTTAATCTAACTATTTCCCTGACAACAGCCTAATATTATTTAAGTACAGACATAAAAAGAAACAACAGTTTTAAGTGATTCAGCTTTTATATGTGCATGTAACTTCAGTCTNGTGCTAGATAAATGTTTCCCGACACTAGATTTTACATTTGGCATTGACACATCAATAACAAGGGACGCGTTAATGCTGGAGCGCGTCAACCCACGTGAAAATTAATCCAAATAGCTGTTGGATAAACTACCATCAAACAAATGTGTCTCTCGTTCAGAGGGACTGGCAATGAGTGATAAGTTTTAGCTGAAACAAGACAAGAAGGACAACGCTACTTGTAGAACTACAGATTGGCATTAATAACAAAAGATACCCCAGTAGTAAAATAAGAGCACACAACAAGGAAGGACAAAAGAGGCACTATTTCTTTTTTATACACAGGGAAAATCATCGATAACAGAAGACAATGGACTAAGGCACATTGCAACTTGTAAAAAGCGCAGATCATTTTGTGAAAGGTATAAGATCCAGAACTGTTTGTCAACAGCAAGCAATGGTAACGCGTCACCAAAGGAAAGCATCATACTCATAGTGTAGTTACAATTGAAAAATAACCGAGAAGCACCATAAAAAATTCCCAATAGGTATGGGCCCTATTTTATGTGTTTGAAGGCAGTAAAAAAAATAGTTGGAATCAGCAAGGAGAAGTCGCTCAAGAGGGAGGGGACACAATAGACGAAAAAGTTTAACGATAACCAAGAACTAAAAGCGGCTTGCACGACGGAAAAACTACGCTCGGACTTGTCACATTTGAGAGCTATATTAATTAAAGAGAACTCAGAGTAATTTGACCATCAAGACTAACCTTCTCCCCTCCAACCCCTGCAAAATTGCACTTATAATCAAGGAACATCGCGATAAGGCAGTATCTGTTCTACCCAATACTACAACCAGCTTGGACAGTCGCCTCGAGTAATGGACAATGTGAATGGGTCGGTTAAGTGTTATTACCGCTGGACTACGGTCTGTAGTGACCACTGGCTAGTGCCGACAGTGACTTTAACGTTAAATCTCGGCCATAGTACTACAACGGTGCATCGATGAAGCGTTGGGTGGTTTTGGTTCTCTGTCTAGGTAAGAAATTCAGCTATTATTACTTGTGATTAAAGTCTAAATACAGCGTAGTAATTCTCATTAAATTTTATTTTAGTTTCTTGATAATTATAGTGTAAAATAACCATTACCATATTTCTCCTTTTGATGAACGTTACCTTCAGCTCAAATGTAGAAGTCTTGATGACAATTCACGGTTGGGGAATTGTTTGATAGAAAATGGGTGGCATTTTACGGGTCTTCATTGGAATATTTCACGGTTTTGTGCTCAGAAATTTATTGTTCTACAATGATATTGTTTGTACATATACATTGTTTCTGTGACAAGTTTCTTTTCTTTAGTTCGTTGAATATTTATTGCTCTGCTTTGCATCAAAATCTATCTATCTATTTTCTATGCACTGTTTAACCTTCTTCTTTTCAAATGAACTGCTGTCTTGTTCCAAACTACCACAACCAAACAGTCTTGCGGCGCCCTGCACAGCATTTGTCGAAAAACAACATCTTTGCCATCCTAAAAGCAAGTTCTTGGAGCAAGCGAGCAAGCAAAGATAATTTTTTGATTTTATGCTTTAACTAAACAAAAGGTTTGCGTCCCTTTTCTTTATCTAACTATTTCCCTGACAACAGCCTAATATTATTTAAGTACAGACATAAAAAGAAACAACAGTTTTAAGTGATTCAGCTTTTATATGTGCATGTAACTTCAGTCTCAATACGTTGATGCTCTGTAATTCGATACTACAAAAAGATTTTACGTCGATGAGTTGCTATGAAAGATACACCAGCTTGAAATTATTTTAGCCCACTGTACATGAATGTCCTTAAATCGAACCCTGCCAACAAGCTAGTTCAATTAGGTAGAACTATAAATAAACCTTTGAAAAAAGCACTGCTTATTGTAGACGCTCAAGATTGTGTGTCACGAACAAAACGACATTGGAGCAACTATTATTACGAGTTCGATTCTACTACTCTGCCTATAGAAATTGCACGGAATTGCTCTCAGAAGATTTCACGCGTTGGTTCTACAGGGGTATTTATTGGGGCTGGCATTGAAGAAAAGTGTATAGTTATCGTGGACATTTTCAGACGAAAGATGGGTTCCGAGTTGTTATCTATCGAATGACCATCAACATTACTGCCGATAACGATTGACCGACCGAATGGCCTTGTGGTTAGAGTTTCCGCCACCGGAGCGGGAGGACGTGGATTCAAACCCGTCCGGGGACATACCAGTCCTTTATAAACGGTACTTGCTGTCTCCCCGCTTGGCACTCAGCACTAAGGGACTAAAGCAGGGGGTCTGGTCTGGCAGTGGAGAAATGATACGTTTGTTAGCTCTGAGTGCCTAATATGGCAGCTGGGCTGTATCCTCCCCAGGGAGGTGAGAGCGACTATAGAGTGCAACAGGGCCAAAATGACCAGGCTTCTCTGACTTAAATAAATTTCATTTTTAAAAATAAATAAATAAATTAAAAAGTATACTAACAAATGAAGCTCGCCTTTAATTTAACATTTCTTTAGTAAATGTTACTAAATCAATCTACATGTCTTTTCTTTAAACATCTTTAAAAGTATCATCCTCAGATGTATTTTACAAAATCAAGGTAATGAAATACAACTATATCTCATTTGCCACACCTGTAAGTATCATAATATGTACCTTAATCTAAGACATCCCCTGCACATGCCATGCAAACAAACTGGCAGCTTGGCCAATTAACTTGGTCAATTAACTTGAACATTATGCTGTTAACAATGCAAAGACACCATAACGAATGGGACCAGCCAGGGCGTAATAAACATGGGGTCTGGGCTTTTTATGCATAGGACTAGTTTGGTCCGGGCCTTTGACATATATACAGACTTGACATTTAATATGGAATATTTCAGTTTCAACGGTATGCTTAGGTAAAAATGCGTTCTTTTTTCATAAAATAGATCTCATATAAGATATCTGACTGGAGAAATGTGAAGTCAGGTGTTTCGCTACCAGTTAACTGACTACCAAGTCTGTTGCACTGTTGCGTTGTGTAATATGCAGTGATTTAATTGGGTAGTGCTCCTTTGGCCTGGTCTAAGCTGGGCTTTGGCGAAGCATGGTTCCGTCAAAAAAGTATCCATATGTCGGCAACTACTGCATGTAAGCGGTCGGTTTTGCAGTGCGTAAAATGAGTTCAACACTGTTTTACAAAATTGTAAATCTGTGCCAGAATGGCGCGAAAAAGACAGACATTGCCAGACAAACGGAATGGTCTGCACAGTTCTATGGAGTTATGCCCAGACTAATGTACCTACACAGAGACCACGCCCAATGTATTGACATCTTACCAACAGGGCACAGGACTCACTGTCCTTCAGGATATACTGCTGCAATTAAACAAAGTTCACATATATACATATATATAACTTCAACCTTCGGGTTGCTATGTTTCAATAAAGATTATTATTATTATTATTATTATTATTATTATTATTATTATTTTGTCAATTACCCTTCTGCTGCTCTTCTTCTTCCTGTACCGGTGCTACTGTACTACTACTACCACTTATTTTCATTTGTACGACTCACGTCGCCATTAATATCATGTAGGTTGTTTTGACCAAATTAAGCTATTGTTTTCCATTTTTTGGACGCTTGTCGAATTTTGCCTTTTTTTCGTTTAGCTTCGGCTATTCGATTACATCTCCGACAACCGTTGATGCCCTTCACTCTTAAATTTTCAGTCTTCGTTTATTCTACATTCTTTTCACTTTATTCTATTCACTTGTCACATAATACTAAAATATATTATTTATTATATCTGTATATTTTAGTAGGAAAACGCATTAATAAGAGGCCCTACTTAATATCTACGCCTCACGTTTCAATCATTCTAGAATTAAAAAATAATAATAATATTGCAGGCTGACGCTATCGGAAATTTCAGTTTTTGTTGAAAAGTTTCGCTCATAGATTGCTCAACACACTTTCATTGTAGCAATACAGTTGATCCCTGAGTCCAGCCCTCTTGTTTGGTCAGCTTGGGGACCTTGGTCGGACTGTGACAACCAGTGCGGACAAGGGATAAGGCACCGGACAAGGGACTGCGTGGTCGCCTGTTTTAATGGGCTGAGGGAGGAGATTGAGATATGCGAGGACAACTCCTCGTGTCCAGGTAATGTACAGGGGCCAAAGAAAATCTGCGTCATTTGTTCGGGGTAATATCTGGTATTGAAAATTAGCCGACTAAGTTGCGTTTTACAAGTAATTTGAAGTTTTGTTTGTGTTTTTTTCCCTGTGAACCAAGCTTTGACCAAATTGTTTATCTTAAAGAATGTTTCAACTCATGCTGATGACCTTGAAGGTACATGTACTACAATATCAAAAACATTTATTATGGGGTTATAATTCTTAAAGATCTTATGCATAAATCACAGAGCTGATTTTGCATTGTCGGCTATTCGATTAAAGCAGTCTAAGCTTAGACCATGAATCTTGACTCTTTGTGACACTGGGTCTAGACACTTGGAATCTTCACACTGATTGCTAGAGAATTTAATTAGATAACAGGTCTAAATCGCTTCTGCCTAAGTCATGTCTGGAGGTACAATTAAAGTGGAAATCAAACATGGAATTATTAATAATTAACTCTCCACGTCTGTGAGATCTAATGACAAATTCCATTTTGAACTTCACAATCTTAAAGATCAATAATTACCTTGTATACAGAAAAGCTTAAAACGATTTTTGACAGACAAATCAGAGAATGAGGTAAACTGTTTGCGAACGCATTACTAAAACGAATACAGGCGACAGAACCTGCACGTCGATATCCCTCGTTCCACTTCAAGCAATTAAATGGAAATTTGATAATTGTGCCTGAAACACAGCATAATGCGTCCGTTTTTTTCCCATTACATCAGCAGGCGGCTTACACAAGAGATTTGCAAGCGTTAAAACATTTCTTCCAGTGTTTGACAAATATTCTTAAGTTTTGATGTTTGCATTTGCCTATTGCCTCTTTACAAGCGTCCAATGTGCATTAAGCCTTTACGAAGCAAAAGAATGAATTATTTTGTAAATTTTAGCGGTTTCCCTTAAATACCAAAGTCTGACCCATCTAAATCTGTTGAGGAAATTAGGAACTAACCCGTTTTTGGGTTCTAAGAGACCATTCGCACTCCCTCGGGAGTCTCACTAAATTGCTATCAAACTAACCGTCTTAAACGTCTGTCACGCCTAGTAAAACTGTTAGGGAGTAATTATCTTTACCCCTAGCTGATTCGGTAGGCGTGACAGACATTTAAGCCTCTTGAGCTGATAGCAATTTTGCGTGAACACCCAGGGAGTTAGGTTGATCCAGATGGATCGATCTAAGTATGGGAACCCAGTCTAAGTTTCTGTTTTTAACCTTTCGCGTGAAATCCACCGACCTCCAGCCCAAGACAGAGGTAGTCAAACATTAGAAACTGAGATCCCCATATGAATTTATAAATTGTAATTTTGTCAAAGGTTTTGGGTGTTGTGCACCTTGGAGATTTTAATTAAAATTTTAAAAAAACAGTGGAATTAATTTCTTTGCTATTTAAACGCCTTTTGACTGTTAACATTAGCGCGGAAGTGCGGGACTGTTGGGTGATTTTTTTTCTTAAAAACCAATGTTAACCCTGGAAGACTTTTATCGATGTAAATAAAAAATACCATCTGACATGTAACAAATGCTTTGACATACATAAACGTTAGTGAATGCTGAAATCGAAATGGATATTCTAATCCCACTGTCATTATCTTCTATAGTCAGTTAAATTAAACATATTGCTACCTTGTCTTTATACTGTCTACTCCTAAGTAAGTTTGACCACCACGAAATAATGCCTCCACACTGACAGTATGTTAATTCATAAGTTTTGAAAAAGTTGGCTATGAGTAAGACAGTAGGCCAATATCATTGAGATTTTCTGAAAATAAAAAAAATAATTAAGAAAAGTGAACCGAAAATAAAAAACCCATTAAAAGATGTCCCACCAGACGCAGTGCTTTTGTCATGGATACACGAAAATTAGAAACATACACTGCACTTAAATCGTCTCTTTCTGCGTTAAGACATCTCTTGGTAGACAATTACAAGTGGTTTTTCAGTCAAGTAGGCCTACACCAAGCATGTATGTTTACAGTCAAGTTTTCCTCTTGGGACTAGTCTATTTCATGCATAATAGATGTAGATATGATACATGACAACAGAATTATACGCTGGCCAATAAGTCATTTTTGCTTTGCCACTTATGCTTCTATTAATCTGATCAACCAAAAGTTTTAGAAGTGATGGGTTGATACATCATTTCCGCTTCGCTGCCTGGGAAATTGTAGGCTGATGTTTGGAATTAACGTCACAACACCGAGCGTATATAACCTGAATGTAAAATGATTCTTTATGCTTCATGTGTGATGCAGTTAGGGAATAGACAAGACTCTTCGTGTGTATTTTGAAACACATTGTGTTTAGGTGGGTTTCAGTTGAACGACTAGGAACTGTAAACTCACGCAAATGCTTGACCTCTCGCGTGATCTCATTCAAGGAGGTCAAACCGTCGTCATGGATACCTCTCTGCGCGTGTGACTGACTTCCTTACTTGGGAGATTGAAGGAAATGAAATAAACAGCCGTGGCTGTCAAAGCCTCTTTCATGGATGGGGAATTTTCAAATGCAAATGGTACACAAGAATAGGTCTACCTGTACCACTAACATGCTCTTAAAGTTGAAAGTGTGGCCGCAATTTTTATATTTCATGCAAAATATTCATTACAATTGTTATGTAAAAGAATTATGTGACCAATATATGAAATTGTCTTCAAACATCTAAACCATTAACTCAACGGAGAATTTTAAACTAGAAAGCTTAGTTTATACAAATATTGCAGAACAGCATTGAAGCTTTTCATTCTGTTCGTTTACAATCGTGTTTGCAATGATGCTTTCTCTACGTGATGCTTTCTCTACGTGTAGGCCTACCCTTTTTATGTGTACATTAACAGTGCAGTGTGCATTTGCTGGAGTGTAAACGTACGTGTGTTCTTGGTTCTTATGTTGGGCAAATTACGACCAGTTTAGTCGTTCTATCTCATGTGTGAATCAGCATACCTGTACAAACGGGATGGTTTTGGTTGTCGCTATTACGGTTAACAAATATTCTCTCTTCGAAATCAGAGCCTCTGTATGCTGTAAATAAACATCAGTATCTTAGAATCGATCGGTGTCCTGTAGTCCAGTGTCAACGCACCTGCTGTTGGTGTTACCAGGACAAGCATGATTGACACGAATTTGTCAATAGAGAGTGGGAGAAGTGGCGCTTTTGTTCCACTCCATATGATATGAACATCTTTGCAGGGTGTTTATTCATCGAATATTCATCTGTTATAAAAGTAGCAGCCGGCCCTCCGGGCCGCCTTTTTCGTAAAGGGAATGTAAATTGTTATTATTATGATAATGAAATAGAATCATTGCTTTGTTAAGATGACCAAGTACATTAATACAAATTTCGAAATGAGGTAGCAGGTCTGCTTTAAATTACTCAGTCTAGGTGGAGGAAGAAACGCACAATGTAATTATACGTTAATCTCCAATTCACATCATTATTTTATACCCTTTTTCTGTAAAGGGAAGGACAAATGCTTTTTAGTCGGAAACACACAAAAGAAAATTGTCAATGCGTTGAAATATAACCCGACGGCACCTTTTGTTCTGCTAAAAGGTTTCCAATTATGAAAAGTTATATTTTTTTTAAACCACTTATTACAGAAGGTTCCACATATCATTTTTCATCGATCGAAGCATATATACCCAAACCATGCGATACTCAATCGTACTTCATGCAACAATTGTTTACAAAACATGCTTCACGGTGGGGATAGTAGTAGTATTTATTTCCTGTAACTAAAACATTTTAAATGTATATGGCAATAAAAGTCTTTTGATATATGAGACAGCAAGAAAGATATAATAAATCACAGGTAAGGTACATATACACACACTGGACAATAGAAGTGTCACCCCTACTGATCATGAACCAATACTTTGGGGGAGATAAATGACTGTGGAATGATATGCTCCTGGTATCATTTTATTAACATCAAATTTCACAAAAAGATCAACAATTCAATTCTATGGTACAGCGGTTTTATACTCATTAGTCACATTATAAGTAGACCAGGCATCATAACTACTCAAGATCTACCTACTTTGATTACTCTGATTCAGGGGGTGACACTTCTATTGTCCATTGAGTGTACATGTACATATATAGAAGCTACTATAGAAATTGGAGGTAAAAATAACTTACTGGTACAGGTAGCTATCTAAAATGAATTGAAGCTGGAACAGAAAACACCAAGTCTTCAGAAGTACGCTGCCTGCATGGCCATACAGTTTCAGTGATTTCTTTCAGATACCTTTCACTAAGCGTTAGAAATATCTTAATTTAAATTCATTGGCGCCAATACAGGCATCTTAGCAATACACAATACCCTAGACACCATTAACAGATTACATTTTACAATACCAACATTGTGTTGTGCTATTCACTTCAGCTACTGAATCAAACAAACAAGCTTCAAAAACTCATACAATCTCAAGCCTGGATAAAAAGCATGATGCCGGCAGCGGTATGCTCTATTGGATGCAGTCTTCGCAAGACTCGCATCGGGCGTTATGAATGTCGGCCATGAAAAGAACTACAAAAGTAGGTATTGCAATATTTAAAGCATCCACACCTACAGATTGTGATGAAGCGCCATGTTATCATATCAAAACAGAGGTATTTGCTCATGTGACAGGATTAATTGACTAAAACGTTTTGTTCTTTGTTGCGGAAAACGTTAATGGGATATGCAACACTAACAGAGCGTCTTCAATAAATATGGAATAGTTTTTTTTTTCATTTTATAATGATGGTACTTTGTACGTGAACCAACAAAGCATAGGGTTTGGCAGTGTTGTAAAGTTGCCACGGATACTGCCACGGACTCACTGCCAGAAAGTCTAATTATGACTAAGTTATACTTCTCTGCCCACAAAACATGATATGTTTGCTTTAACGTCCATTTAATTATTCCTTTAAATGACTAGCCTCGCAGCTGGTATTTCTCACGCCTACGCGCACACGAAGCGCGCACGTGCGTATCGTTTAATTGCCGTTTATTTGTAGTCTCGCAAAAGGTGACACAACAACCCCCCTTTTTTTAGTTTGAGATACTTAAGATGACATAAACTCAAGATACGAGGAGGGAGATCTATATTCTGAGTGACCACTTTGCAAATTAAGCAATGAACATAATATACTACATATACATGTGTTATTTTAGAAATAATATGTGGGGTTTCAAATCTGCAGATCAAAATATTCAAACATGGTACAGGTTTCAGTGGCAGTAGACATTTTAAAAATCTTTTCCGCACGACCAAAATATGACAATATCATTCTACCTGATCCATGGTCAAGGGTGTATATTCATCGGATATTCACGTAATTTGCACAACAATATGTCATCTCCCAGTCAGCCTCTGTAATAAAATAACATCCCTCCGAGCCGCCCTTTTGGTAGTGAGAAGTGCGTAACACTATGCAAAACCGTTTGTGATGTATGCCAACGGCTAAAATAATGAATTATAAATAAGTTTCCTCAACCTTTGCTTCCATAGTAAACTTCAATGGAATTAAATGCATTTTCAACCTCATAAAAAGACAAAAAGAAAAGAGATATAACAAAGGCATAAAAGTAGTTTATGGATTTCCTAACAAACGTTTGACGTTGCGTTGCCAGCCCAGTGCACAATTACTTTCAGACCTCTTCTTACTTTTTCTCCAATCTGTGTAATTCCCAAACTAATCAGTTCTACGACACAATAGCCCTGTAAAATATAAATCACTTACATTTTCATTGGGTGTCCGATTAACACAAATTTGTTTGCTAAAACTCCTATACATCTGTTAAAAAATTTTCAGTCGAAGTGCATGGATTAAATGGAAAAGCAATTGAAACTAACAAATATGTACTTTTGTTGAATATTTAAAATGGCTTTGACATTTTTTTTCTGATGTTATATATTTTAAGAAATGCATCACTATTTTGGCGTTAATTTTCTTTTACTTAGGTGGATATTTGTTAAATATATATATTCTTTATGCAGATGATAAAGTTTCTAGGATATTTTAAAGGCCACAAAATCCGACGTGGCAATTGGATCATCTTATTATCATCGTCAAAAAGGACCAGATAATATATGATCAAATAATTTAACGCTCTTGCAGCGTTTTGTAAAATGGCTTATCTCAATTGCTGTATGGCGCACTGGTCTTTTTGCAAGGTTCCAGATTTTCAACTAGTTTGAGACGAATCTGCATCCAAATGACATAAAATGTTACCCTATTCTCTAAAACAGCTGCCCGCCTTTGAAATCACCCTTGCGGGACGAACTTGAATAGCACAAAATAACCGGAAACCAACCTGATTGGTTTGTGACGGTAGGCAATGTAGCATAATGCTACCAGGAAGGGAATTTTCCTTTGTTTAAATAAGTGGCTTTAGCCAAATAAGGGATGAGCAAGAATTGGTATGAATTGGCCAACTGTGACGCTTCAGCGACAGCCTAACACTAATTGACTTTAATTGACGATTGCATATTATCACGGAAATTAGATCAACTAAATCAACATAACATATCTCGCGCGTGATCAGTCGTATTCAGTGCGTGTCCGAAATAATTCAGTTATCAAATGGAGAGTTTCAAAGGAGAAGCAATACAATAGAGCCTGAACGTTTTCACTCCTTTGGGACTTCGTGGAAACCGCTTCATTGTCGTTATTCGTTCCGCCAACTGTCGCACCATCATTTCCGTAGGCAAGTAAACGCCGCGATGCAACTAGTACTGTAAATGAGTATTTTTCACAACAAACTATACGTAAAAAACATGGTGGGGCTAGAGGGGGGATACCCAAAAGCTTACCATTTTCCAAACTAAAATCATTCTCCCCCAAAATGTGAGATTTTCAAGAAAATCACCTTGGGACAAGATGCACAAGAGTAATGTTTCTAATATGCTACATGAAATAGGACAAAAGAGATATGTACGGACATCCCCACTTTTCACAAAATCAAAATTTGGGGGAGTAACTGCTAATAAATCATTAATTCAGATTGCGGGGTGACAGTGAGGTGAACTGTTTGCCTTCTTCCACTCGCTTTTCATAATAATGGATCCGCGCCATTTAATTGGCGTGATATTTCGAAACGTTAAGCCCTTTTTTTAAAACCTAGAAAATGTCAATTTAGAACTTGTCCAGATGCAAAAGAAAAGCACTCTTCACACGCCCCATAATAAGTGCACAAATATAGAGACGGAGTGAACAACGATGCAAACATTGATCTGTAATGGCAATCGCATCTTGCAATTACTGACACTTTTTATTGACACACGCACGGGTTGCAAAACTAATGGTAGGGTGTATTTGTTTCAGTTGCTTTTTGTGTGGAAGGAACAATATAGTCGTTTGGTATCCCAATTCATGAGAGTCGACGAAAATTAAGGTCTATGTATATGTGATTAACAACGGAAGTAAGCAAGGAACGCCCGTGACAGATTGTGGTAGTTTTGACAATACAAGGACGGGTCGATTTATGGCCCCGTTGCTATGGAGAAACGTACAAGCGTCATTTGACATACCGAAAGAATCTGAAATATACACAACTCTTTTACCACTCTGCTGTTATCATATTTAGACGCGTACACAACGAGTAGCGAGCTAAAGCTAGCAGCTGAAGTGCGTCTTTTATGCTTCACTGGATTAGCATTTGTTTAGATCCGAGAAAACTAGAAAAGGTGTTTGGATAGGCTGACAGTTAACAATTCCTTAATGAAAAATACCCAAAAATGGATAATAGATGTGTAGAACAGTTTCATTAGCTATGTTATTGTAATAAACTTGCGAAGATTCTTTTGTCTATAGCAACTTATATTTGTCTGGTCTTACCAGCCAATATTTCGTCTGCTTGCAGTCAGACTTCATCAGGGAATGAGGTTGTGACTCATTCCCTGAAAAAAAAATCTTCACAAGTTTAGGATAATAGATGTGTTTTAACACGGCACCTATTAGACCAAGAAGTAAAGAGAGTTGGTAAATCATAAACAAATGTGAAATAAGGAGCAAAGCTGACGAATGGTAGACAAAGATCCAGTACACATACATGTATTAACGCAGCTCTGTAGAAACCACTCCAACAACACAAAAACCTGGATATAACCTGAAACTCATGTCATACAACCCAATCACAAAGTGTCACCCTCTATGCATTTTCCCTAATTTTTCCTGCCCACGAATCGTTGCTGGACCCACCCCTCCACTTGGATTTAATGTCTTATTTCATTTCTACTTTAATGATGTCGTTCTAAATGACTGGCCAGTCAAACGAGAAAAGGTGTTGCATTCAACATAATAATATAATCCATAATCAGTTATTTGCACTGTCATGGTAGGTTCTTAGTTTAAGATTTAGTGTTTAACACCATTGACTTATTTTTGTAAGATGAACAGTTTGTTAGTCTACAATGCACACTGTCGTCTTCCAGTGAATAAACCGCAATGAACTTATCTAAATTCGCGACTAGGACATCTATTACGAACAACATACTATCACATCGGCCTCAAATTTCACTGGCTTTTGGCGTAGGACCAGACTAGATGTGTACATGTATACGGTTAATATCTTTATATATTTATGCCATCTCGGCACATGCCATACATTAATGATATCCCTAAACGTTGGCATTTGAATTATGAATGTCCTTCACCCGTTCAGTCAATTGGAACCTAGTGTCTATTCTCAGCATACTGCCATTTGCAGTTAACTCTGATATTCAGGGTGATGGGCAATACAGGACCAGCAGACCACTTACATATAAACCGGTTTAAGAGTTCTCTTTTTTATTTTTACCGTTAAAGTTAAGTAACCCCCATCTCCATTATGAAAATGGTTTAAAAATGACAAATTTCTCAAGAACATTGCCGTAAATCTGTAGGTTTGAGATAAACAGTAAAATAAAAAAATTGCATAATGCAGGTATTGTACTCGTTGTTACTTCTTTCTGTTACTGGTACTTTAAAAACTAAAACTTGTTTAACAACGCTGTGCATGGTTTCAGTACAAGGAGGCTGGTCCTCGTGGAGCACGTGGTCGCCATGCACGAATTTGTGTGGCAGTGGCACTCAAACCAGGACACGTGCCTGTGACTCGCCGGCGCCAGTTCAAAGTCCAGATTGTCCCGGCGATGCCAGCCAAACCATTGGCTGTAACACACAAGCTTGCGTAGGTCCTAGCGTTGGTATGTACTCTGATATATATATATATATATATATATATATATATATATATATATATATATATATATATATATATATATATATCTTTGCCACCCTTTCATGCACACTCTAACTTTCAGGTTCCATGCATATTAATTACATGGAGGTGGATTTCAATTAACACACACACACAAGTTTATCGAATATATATATATATATATATATATATATATATATATATATATATATATATATATATATATATATATATATATATATATATAACATAGGTTAATCAAATTCATCTCTATATAATCGATATTGAAACTGAAAGTTATATTGTGAATGAGGAGGGGGGCAACGATAAGAGAGTTTACCTTGTTTAGCACGCTCTTAAAAGAAGTTTGCAGTAATCCTCTTGCCAGTTTGCAGCAAATTGGCAAGATGTGAAAATTCCTTATTTTGTTCTCCATACACGGTATTTACATACAAAAACCAATTGAACCATGCATACAGGTCTTATTTTTTATTTATCGATTTATTTATCTTTAATTGGTTCTGATTAAACTCAATATTTCAGGCTGTGAAGCTAATGGTTTAAGATATGCGGATAATTGCAATTACGTATACACCCACCCACCTTTAAGCTGGGATGATGCTAACAACAAATGCGTAGGCCAAGGTCAAAGCCTGCTAACTCTAGAAACAGAGGCAGAACAAAACTTTATCATTAGTAAACTGCAAGGTATGTCTTTTTCTCTTCAGCAAAATTAAATAATGGATTACACACATAGCACTGGATTATACAGCATTTGCTTGTTCGTTAAACCTCCTTGGTATTTTTTATTCAAAGGCATGCTACTGCTATACTGTCGAATAAGAGAAAGAAGGCACACGCGGCGCAGCAAGCCTGCAAGAGACCTTTAAATACGGACTTTTCAAAAACATTACATCTCAATTTTACAGCTTTGCCGCTGTCCTCGATGTGGCTCGGAGGAAGGAATGATCGAGGAATGGATGATTACAGATGGACCGATAATCTCCTGCTCGTTGGAAGCTCATGGTCGTTTTGGAAAACAGTGTTGCCAGAACCTATGGGCCATCAAATGTATACAGACATCACTGACAATGGCAGATGGAGTGTGGACGATACCGAGACGCAGCAGTATGCGTGTACCAAAAAATTAGGTATGTTAAAATGCGTGGGTGTTTTTGTGTGTGCGTGTAAAGGCGTGTCTAGACCTATGTGTGGAGGAATTATCAAAATAACGGGATACGGGGATGGGCTCCTGAGGTGGTGTTTTGACAGCGCCCCTTGCTGCAGGAACAAAACGGGTCAATTATACAGGTACTATAAATATATAGTTACATAGGTTTCGCGCTATATGCGGTGTTCAGGTATCTTCATGTTGAGGATTCTAGTGAACAGATTGTTGTAAGAAAGAAACGAATTAAGTTCATGCGGAGAGCTCATCTCAGTCAAAAATGAAGTGGGGTGGACTTATTGTATTGCATATAAGCATTGCATTGGTAGAGGGTAGGGCTTTCCCTTCTACCTACTTCCCCCTACTTCATGCGGGTTTATAACTGACGTGGTTGAAAGTTGTACGTACGTGTGTGTGTGTGTGTGTGTGTGTGTCTACTCTACATATCTGCCACGTGTCATTGTCCACATATTGTAGTCCCTTGCTACTTTCAGATTGTCCTTTAAACTATTTTCGCCATGGCCACGCTTGTTACCACATTGGACGAAGCGAACGTCATTGGGGAGACGCCAAATCTGACTGTGAAACCATTCAAGGCGCAAACCTGCTTTATTTTGACAACACTAATGAAGTCAACTACATAAAAAACTTGATTGTAACCAACAGACTTTCAGATCTCGGTGTGTAAAGTACAGGTTTCTTTTTTTCTTTCTTTCTTATATTCATTCATTCATGCTTGTTTCATTTTTTCCTTTCCTTTAAGCAAAATATTACTTAAGCGGCACGGACAGGGTTACCTGAATTTTACAAGTTCATAAACATATGAAAATTTATAATCTTCTTAATGGTGCTTAGCGCTAAAGTAGCAATGGCTTCTGAACTATTGGTAAATCTTACCGTAAAATTTTACATTTATTTTAAAAACATGTTTATTTTAAATTCGGGCAATTGCGGGTTTCTATGCACAAGGTACGGCATTATTTGTGATATAAACCCGTCACGCGCAATACAATTATACTCGCAATACTAAAAATGTTTCAACAGCACAAAATGCTGTGAAATGTATAGGTAACCCAGTACGAAACCTACATTTAGTACAAATAAACTACTTAACAGCTGCCAATCCGTTTTTCATTACAGCGTCAAGTCTCCTGAACATTTCTTCCTTTAGTCTTTGGACGTCGGGAAATGATAACGCAAGTGAGGGCACGTGGGTTTGGAGTTTAGGTGACGTCAGTCGACCAATCAGCTTTGAGAATTTTGCGCCTGGACAACCTAATGGCGGATCAGCCAGTAACTGTCTCTCATTGGACGCAGACGTGAACTACTCGTGGGTTGATTCTTCGTGCTCAGAGACTAAGATGTATATGTGTAAAATAAGGGGTTAGTATATTTTCCCCAGTGGCTACAATAAATAAATAAATAGATAATTAATTGATAATACAAATTTGATGTTATTTCGCTACAGAAAAATTTAAAATACGTGTATATGAAGAAGAAATTAAAATATTAGAAATTGGAAAATAAAAACGGGTTTGTGGAGTTTTATACATGTATATAGTACTGTTTACCTTAGTGATGAATGGAAAAGTATTGGAGTTTCCGATACAGGAAAATAAAGTTTTTGCTGAATAAAGGTCTAACGCAATGCTTTCGATTTCAATATCAATTCACCAACTCGGATTTTTTTCTAGCCTCCGTCTGCGGTCCACCACCGAAAGTTGCCAATGCCATAAGAATACCTGATCGTCCAAACGCTTCCTATGTCAATAATACTTTACTCAAGTTCAGATGTTTTCCGGGCTACTATTTCATGGATAATTCCCAAGAAAAATCAATAACATGCCTCCACAATCTGGCATGGAGCGACTACCAGCCTGGAAACTGCACAGCAGCTTGTCCTGGACTCGACATCACTCGTGCAACACCGTCGCCATCTGTTGGTGGGCCATATGTCGCGGGAACTAGTTTGAATTTCACATGTGCTCTTGGTTATTTTTTCAAACAATATCTCAGCGTTTCAATTCAGATGCGGTGTATGGAAGATGGCATGTGGGATATTGGTGTAATTCCGGGAGAGTGTGAACCAATTACTTGTCAAGGACCACATACAATATATGCCTATTTAGAAGACACACTGTCCACTTTCCGCTCTCCAACTGACCCCAACGCATTCAACTCGAGCTCAATAGTGCGTCTGAAATGCCGAGCCCGGTATCTGTTCCCAGATACCCTTACCGATTCCAAGTTAATATCGTGCCAAGAAGACGGCACGTGGAACATAAGCACATCTTTATTTGAGTGCGTGCTGACCTTCTGTGAGGAACCGCCGTGGATCCCCAACGCCATCACAGTGTACAATGACACAGAGCTGAACTACGGAATCAACGAGACGTATTTGCATCTCTATGCCCCAGGTGAAAGCGCGTTTTACTACTGTGAGGGAGGTTACCACTTTGACCATTCTAATTTCTTAAACCATAGCGCTTTGTGTCAGAATGGCACGTGGACAACGCCCAATCATCATATCCTGTGCGCGGAAGACAGATGTGAGGACACGCCGCTTTTACCCTACGCTAACATAACGTACATGTCCGCGTATCCGTCCCTACATGAGAACGTGTCTTCGTACGCGCTTAACACCGTGCTCGTGTACCGGTGCGAGGATGGGTTGTATTTCAAATCTAATTCGACCCTGTCGACGACGATAAATGTCACTTGTGACATAGGAGGGTATTGGAGGGTCACTGAAGAGATGGAGACGTGCATGCCAATCATGTGCCCTGAGCCTCCCCTTATAAATTTGAGCATGATGTACGTGACGGGCAACTCATCGTCCGTATACACTTGGAACACGACTGTTGAATATATGTGTGCATCGGGATTCCATTTTGCATCAAATAGCCATTTGGCGTCCATCACCATTGTCTGTGATAAGAATGGAACCTGGAACACGGATGTTCAAGACGCCTGTGTTGCTATGCAGTGCCCTCCTCCGCCGGTTGTATGGAATACAAGGACTGACGTCATTTCCGGTTATGGTGTCGTCATTCTTGCAAACAACACGTTTTTGGCAAATGAAACATGGAGCTCTAATACCACTGACGATCATAACACCACATTCGGTGACATGACTTATTATGTCGATACTTCCGTTGTGTATAATTGTTTGCCAAACCATTATTTCTCAAATGAAACATTACAGCAGACGGCCATAATTATTTGTCTAGAAAACGGGACATGGACACCATTGTTAAATCCAGAATATTGTCAAAAATTGTCACGAAACCATTCCAGAAATTCCTCAGAGTCAACGACTACTTCTTTCAATTTAACGACTGTGAATCCCTCAAATATGTCTTATACAGATACAAATGCTTCTAATTTTTCTGTGGCCCATCAAAATGTGTCTTTATCAACGTCGATATTTACTGTTGGACCAGAAATGACGACATCTGGACTACATTTTACAGATTCTGTAAACAACATAAATGCTTCCACATCTTTGGAAGCCAATATGACATCGCCAGCAAATGACATTAAAAATGTGAAGTCACCAGCGAATGACGTCAGTACCAGTTCAACGCCCACCATTTCTGCGACGCAGCCGGACGCTTCGATTCAAACAACAGAGAGTGGTAAGTAACTCTGTTGGTTGTCTTATTTTAATTTTAAAAACATCTTGACATCACACAGCATTAGTTAAAATGAAAACGTAAATAAAAATTTAACAGTTCTGCTGTGCGTTGGAAAACGGTTAGAATAGAAATTGATTCAAAAGCTCCTTGTCCGTGGCACTTGAAATGCCAATATTGTTGAAGAAATGAAAAAAAAAAACTTACCGGCATTGGAACTGTGCAAGAACATACCATTGTGCAATGTCTTATTTTATAGGAACTGAATGAACCAAAACATAAATTTAAATATTCACCAACTTTTTCACAAATCATGACTGTTTCCTTGATAATCTTCAATTCGCGTTTGTTAATTGCTTAAAATATCGTCATAGTTTGGCGTCATCTTTCTGTATTCATGGTAGACCATATGCCTGTTATTGCATCTCTAACTTTATCCCTTCGATAAGAGGTCCATTTAAACCCTTGTCATCGTTTCAGTCATTACTCACTGCGCCTTCTTCCAAAACGTCACCAACGCCGAGGCCGACAAGGTGAATACGTCAGTTGGGGCGGTGATCGTTTACACGTGTGTGAACGGGACTACCTTTCCGGCTGGCGGCACCAACCGAACGACCAGATGCACGGAAAAGGGGAAATGGAGCTCTTTGGTGTCAGCTTGCTCTGGTAAGATGGTGTTGTCTTTGAAAAGGAGATCGTGAACGAGTTTCTGTTGCATTTGAAGTCATGCAGTGCGCGTAAAATCCTTTTATTAAAAAATATGTTTAGTAATTTTCCTGGAAACTTGAGCAATGTTCCTTTTATTGCCGAGGTAGATTTGTACTTTAGCCAAAATATTGAAGAAAATGCAACCCCTAAACCCGGTTTTGCGTTTTAAATTTTTAGTTTTTTAAACTGAAAATCGCCACTGAAAACTGAAAATCGTCAGTCCGATCGCTTCCTCCATTTTGAGAGAGACCAAAAAAAAAAAAAAAAAAAAAGAAACTTGAGACCTCAGATAAGGTTTCTGTGGACGATTTTGGGTATGGTATACCATGGTGATTAGGCAAAAATTGTTGAGATTCCCGTTTTTTTTTTTTTTGCTATTTTGAAACCTTACACTCATTCAGTGCCTTTACAAAACTAGTTGTGCATGAAATTGAATGTAAAGGTATTAATCCTCAAAATTACTATGTTACTTTCTCTCTCTCTCTCTCTCTCTCTCTCTCTCTCTCTTGATTTTCTTAATTAAAATATCATTATCTAAGGCTGTCAAATCCCATATTTATGACTATATTATAAACTGAAGATTAATTTTCGTTTTTTATATGCTTTCCGAAAGAATTAAATTCTCCTCATGTTGTCATAGTTATTTCATTAAAGTTTTTTTTATTTTTTTATTTCAGAGATTGTGGTAAGAGTGGTGAAACGAGCCAGGCGTCTTCCTCCCTTAGAAGCCCCAGGCGCACCCATTTTTGGGTCTTTCGGACTTGCAATCTTGTTAGCTATAGTACTTACCATCATTATCAGTGACTTGGCAACGCTGCAGATGCAACTCAGAATGATGAGACGCAACGTGAACTCCTATTTTTCGTTTAAATCCAGAAAACTTATCGTGAAGGAGAAAACGGAGGGGGGTCGTCACAAGCTGGCGGATAAAGAAAAACGTGCCCCTGATTCTTCGAGGCAGTGTCTTGTATCTATTGACGGATCATCCAGCGCGCATGGGCACGTGCACCCGTCAACCTCAAAGGATCCGAGGTTTTACCATATATGACTCTTGTCATTGTTGTCTGCTTCAAAACATGTTCATTTTGCTAAATTTTTACAGCACCAGGAATGACCCTCAGATTAGAGGATTGTTAACCCGATCTTAAGTTGATTAAAATATATGTTGGCACAGATGACGTGGCACACGTAACAAATAGAGAGAGAGAGAGTGCATGAGAGAGAGAGAGAGAGAGAGAGAGAGAGAATTAAGGTTTGGTCCACAAAACGACTTACCGGTCTTAGATCAAAGACTTAGCGTGGAATTTGAATGACTCTAGATCATATTGTGATTGCCCTAACCAAGGAGGTACATCTTGTATAACTCTTTGTCCTAACTGTGCTTCTTGCTATCACTTGTGGCATATGAATAGGTGTCGATTACATTTATTGTGGGGGAAGCGTCCGTAAAACACTCTTACTATATATATACTCTTAACGTTCACATGGTCGGCTATACAAGTTTCTTTTATTTAACTACACGTAAGCTCAAAAACTCCATTTGTTCTTTTAATATTATAATATTGAGATATTTGTGCCCTTTTGGTATGTAAGCCAGGCGGTTTGTGATGTATAATCATGTTTTGATTTTATATCTGTTTATTGCAACATTCTTAACGCAATTAATGTAGTGAAATTTAAATGTAAAGACACGTGTATGTGAATTTAATAAGCGTATTTGCATAAACTGTATTCAAAACGGGTTATTCTTATAAGTATAGCAACATACAGTATGATTGTGCATTTCATTGAATTAAAGCATATTCTCTTTATTCCTCAATATATACCATATCCAAAACTGCTGATGAAATTACAATCTATATCGTTGTTGAGGTAGCATTTTACATTTCATCGATAAGAGTGAAAGTCACAAGTCTCTGTTGTCAAAATGGAATAGATTAAAATAACAAATTAAAATTCGAAAACCTGACTCTACATGTATCTAATCTCACTTCAGGAAATCCAAACCCTGGATTTGGTCTTCTGGTGTTACATTTTACAACCAAACCGGTTTAGGTCTAAATTGTGCTGCGTAAACTATAACTAAAAAAATCCATCTTGTTTTAAAGATTTTATTAAATGTAATTGTACTAAAATCTTTACAAAGGCATGTTAAGTGGATAACAACTGTTAATTTTTCCCAAAAATGATATTTCTTGATATAAACGACAAATTTCCCATAGTAGGCCTAACCAATGGCTCATGAATCTTTTCTGACATTCAAATTAAAGTTAGGCCTAGTCCCTGTGTGTGTGTGTGTGTGTGTGTGTGTGTGTGTGTGTGTGTGAGTGTGTTTTTTTTTCTAAAAAGTATTTTATTGTAATGATCTTTTAAGAGATTAATACAGATGATAGTCATCTATGGAGGTCACGTGGTCTAATGGCAGGCACGGAGGCCAGTGTATTTGTGATAACCTCTGTTTTGGTGGTAGCATTTATTATATTTCTGTGGGTTGATTTCAATGTATTTATTGTGAAATATGGATCTCATATGAAAAGTTGTTTTCTCTTTCATTTTTGTAATTTTAGTAATGAACAAGAGAAGCGTTAGGTGATTTTTGATGCAAGCGTCACTGAATTATCGTAGGTGTTTATTTCTTTGTCCTTTTAACACTTATGTGATAACGGAAAACGTTGTTAAAGCTGTGATCTAATAAAGTCTATTTTTTCTTTTTTATTGTGTATTTCTTTATTACTGCTTATCAAGAGAGAGCGCAAGAGAAAGGCTTTAAAATATTTCTTCGAGTATAATGAACTTATAAACTGTAATTTAGATAAACTTGGGTTATTTCCAAACATATTTTTCTACATATTTAATTTTTGCCAGTACCATGCAGGGCCTCCGGATTCATTTATTTTTCCTTAAAGCACTGCATGATCAGCACGTACAGCTCTTATTATCAGATCTGCCTTATTATCTAAATATGACAGCATATAGGGCCTATACTGTACTTGACTCAGAAAAATACTTTCCTCGATTTTTTAAATCAATCAAACCATGTCCAAAGAAGGCCTTAAGTATTTGCGTAGTACCGTGTCGAAAGACATATTTTTACCTGAAAAATACCATCGATAGATCTATAATGCGTTAGCGAAGACAAGGAAATTTAAATTTACTAAAAATAACCTTGACCCAGTTCCCGAAGCCATGTAACCCGCCATAATTCGCACGCTCTACTTTAACCCGCTCTTATCGAAAAAAAAAGTCGCGGGCAAGGTAAGCTTTATCCATTTTCAAGTTCACATTCAATACCAACTCAATGTACTTGAATTCAGTGATAGTGTATTTCATTAAGATGGTAGCCCTAATCATTGCGAATAAATTGATTTCATTATTTAAAGAGTACCTGTATGTGGTTGTCACGGTACATGTACCTGTATGAATGAATTCTCCGAAGTTCAGGTGGGAAATAGAGAAATGGAGTAACTCAGTTTAAGGGTGCGCTCACAATTGATCTATTTTACTAAATCCGCGGAACACATACTGGCATTGAGTAGAATACAGCTAGGAAAGCTGGTGATTAGAGGAGTACATAGGAAATAATCTGATTGCATTCAGCAAGAGTCCCCAAAGAACTAGTGCCCCTCAGGGGCAGATCCAGGATCATTTGAAGGGGGGGGGGTCTGCGGATGCCCCTCCCCCTCCCCACGTGGCGTGGGGTTTGTGGCCCGCTGAAGGGCCCGAGAAATTTTGGTATTTTAGAGGGCGAACGGTGCCATTTGGTAATGTTTAGAACTATGATTCAGTCAAAATTCTAATTTTAAGAGGGGACCAGAAATCAAAGGAGGGGTCAGGACCCCTGACCCCCCCTCTAAATCAGCCACTGTCCCTGTACCTAGTTCGATGATTTCATTGTGAACGCACCCTAAGACCACATTCACAACCAAGTTGATTCGAAGACCAACTAGTCTTGGGAACAAATATGGCACGTTCTTGACAATGCACAGAGCAATTAATCTCAGCACCTTTTAAATTGGGCAGCTAGTCTGTGGATCACCGGTTTCTGAATGCGCCCTAAGTCTTGTTTTGTAGAATATGAATATTTTCTTATAATTACTGTATGAGAATATACAGTTGTATGTATATATACAGCTCACTTTTTGAGGCAGAAAGAAGATGAGTTATTCATCATTGCTTGTCCTGCTTGCCATTGTAATGATGCCCAGCATAGGAACAGTGAACTCCCTCTCAGGGTACGTAAACGCTCCAAGTGTGATTTTAGATTAGATTAAATAACACAAGGTTTTGTTTTACAAAGGAACTTAACAACCAGAAGTTCCTTTTAATTCCAAGGTCAAAATTTAAGTTTGTTTTGACTTGAGATAAAGCAACTGCTTGCCTGTAGTGGTCCACTAAATTAAAATGTTTCAGCTGATTTCTAACAAAAAAGGTAATTAAAGTTACTCCTTTTAAGACTATTAGAAGTGTTGTGTTCACTATTTTTCTACAATTTGGTGACTTTGATCAAAAATTTTCTCTACGGTTAACATATAAACAGCAAGTTTATTATTATTATTATTATTATTATTATTGTAAGAGAAGGGAGAGTAGACAATACTTCAGAATCTAAGCTACAGTGCAAGGTCCATCATTGCTGTGTATAATTGTACTGTAAAATATTAGTGTATTTCTTACAGGCATGTATGTACCACCAGAACAGGCTATATAGCCACAGGGTACCTGCCTAGCTGGCAGTCAGACTTTGCCAAGTATTTCCTTAACTGTGGCTTTATGGGATTTGGCAGGTGCACCAGACAAAGGTAATAATAATAATAATAATAATAATAATAATAATAATGTGTTAATAATTTTAATGATAATGCTTTATTCTTATATCATTATGGTGCATTCAGTTAAAAAGTCATCTCTCTTTACAAATTTAAAGCTTATGTTGCAAATTGCTTAAGAAGTCTAAAATTTTCAATCTGAAAGAGTTACTAGTTAAACTTATAAAGTACATGTCAGGAAAGTATGATGTGGTTAATAAAAATGTCTTGTAAGCAATACCAACATTTTTGTGTAACAACTGTAATAACCTCAGCCAAAGAAGGGTTTTAGGTTTATACATCATGTTGATTTATTGATTTATTGGTAATTTGTTGATTATAAGATATTTCATTAGTATCTGCAAATTAAAAAAAACCCTGAGTATTCATAATATCATAGATTATTATTCAGAAGGGAAATATGCTATAATTACAAATTCAACTGAATCCTGGTAACCTAATATTATTTGAATGACATTATTATTGGAGTTTGCCTTGTTCTCTGCTCTAAGAGTGTTTTTTTTTTTTTTTTTTTGTAACTTTAAGTTTAGATATTAAATATCATTTTTATATTAATTTTAATATTAAAAGTTTCTGTTCTAGACAGGTCAGCAGGCAGACCAGCACCCTGCAGAGATTCAGGAGGTACAGGTTAGAGCAGGTGTGTTGTCCTGGCTGGAGACAGGTTGGAGACGCCTGTAACACAGGTAATAAACTTTGGGTAACCTAGGGCTGGTTACAACACCCTGGGTAGCAGCTGTTATAATACCCTGGGTTACCTGCAGCTAGTTACAACATCCTTAATTGGTCTTAAAATTAAGGGAACTTAGATGAAAAAAAATTGGTCACAACTGTCAGATCCATGTGTTAGTGAGTGGACCTTAAAAATGACATATTGATATAATTGATATAATTCATTCATATTTCAGCCATCTGTACTGGAGGCTGTGGCCATGGAAGTTGTGTGTCACCAGATAGCTGTGTGTGTGTCCCGGGGTATGGGGGAACGACATGTGACACAGGTGAGTGACAGTTGTGTGTCACCAGATAGCTGTGTGTGTGTCCCAGGGTATGGGGGAACGACATGTGACACAGGTCAGTGACAGTTAACAGTATGTTGAGGACAGTTCACATGTTAATAGTGACATTTTGAGTAGGACAATCAATATTGGCAATGGTGCAAGATATTTGTGGAACATAATCTGAAAATTAAAAAAATTCTGATGGTGTAAATATGTTGAGTAACTCTATCTGCAGGTTTTTAATGGTTAACATGTATGAATCCTGAAAAGTATGTCAGAAAACAATTTATTAAAGGTATTCAGTGTGTGCAAAAAATGGATTTTAAAATTCAGGTAATTTGTTGCTTGATTATATCTGTTAATCTCTGTATATTTAAGCGCATTTTTATTATTAATTAGTTTTTATCAGTTCTGGCACATTTTCACAAAGGCTGTGTCCTAATAATTGCAAATTACAATTATGAAGGAACACCACAGCACATAATTGACACTTTCCATTGTATTCTAGATATTGATGAATGTGAGATCAACAACGGCGGCTGCGTGCACACATGCGCCAATACCGCAGGCAGCTACACATGCTCCTGTAAGGAAGGCTTCATCTTGAATGGTACTCATGATTGTCAAGGTGCAGTGAAAATAGA